TGGTGTAGGTCAGAGTTCCTTGGCTGTCGTCGTGACTTAATTGCACCGTGATCTTTGGCGCCAGTAAAGCAAGCAGCATGCTGAATACGTCTGCAAGGGCTGCATGCAGGGAGCATTGCAAAGGCCCTGCTCCAGTGCGTCCTGATGTTGAGTTCGGACTACGCCAATGCGATAGGGAACGAGACTGAATAACGAGTCTGTCGCCAACCATGGATGGCGACAGACGCTTGGAACATGGTCCGGTCTCGCACACACGCGTAACACGCCGTACTTACCACTGGACACGGGCTGAGATCGCACTGACTAGATGGGTCAACGGGTACGGGCACCGAAGGCATACCGGTCGGCCCAGCGGTAAATCAACGTCCACCAGACGCCCGGGGGTGGAGACATCTCTGAGTCCAGAAGAATCTAGTGTCCCCCGTAATAAACTTGAACTAGTGGGCATGATGCCAAGTGAGTGCCAAATCCGAAACTAGCATCCAAAGACAGCGTACGATCCAGACGATAAAAAAGCTGAATTATCTTAGTTTAGCCAGCGCCCCGCGAAGCGTTCCAGTGCGGTCAGTTCAGAATGACTAATTGCACATGCCTGAACAGCAGCATTGTTTTGTGCGGGAGACAGTGACATAAGCAGGCACGGATCCTGGTGTCTGGGCGAGTGGTCTGAAGTCCGGCTAAGTCCAGGTAGTGCAAGCTGAGACAACCGGTTGTCTTAGCGCCTTCTATTGAGTCGCTTAAAAGGACACTCACCGCCATAACAGCCGCACCTTTGTCCCGGATCATGAACTGGTTGGATATTCGCCTGCGGGGGAAAAGGCTAATGTAGTAAGCCATAAGACAGCGGTGGGTCTCATTTCGGAGCAAAAAAGTACGACTTAACGGCCCGGCAGATAGGATTTCGTAATCGAATTTATGGGTAAACGACCGTGAGGCAGCATGTAGGCGGCGTAGGTGGAAATGCGGCCCAGTGATGCATGGGCCGCAGGGCGTTTTTTTTTCTTATCAGTTTTCATTTTTCCCTCTGAAGGAATAAGAGCTAATAGCTACTGCGAGATGACCGTGCATGAATTTTAATGCAGTCAACTGACGAAATCACGCGTTCAACGACCCCATGAAATAAATCACCGGCGCTCTTCATTGCACTGTGGTCCAGTGAACTCTTTGTGAACCGATAGAACTCGGAAGCTTTGTCATAATATTTATCTGGGCTGTAGAGATATGAAGGACCTCGCGAAGATAGATCGAAATGTGTTAACAATCCGTATTAACAAAGCCAAACCATGTTTGTCTGGAAATGTTCAGGCATAGGTTAAAACCTTTTGATGATTTGTTTCACCACTCGATCCTGCAAAGGAATAGACGTTCTCGGGCAAACATGGGATGACCTCGTTCGTTTTTGAACGAATTGCGACGCGATCTATCAAACATTAATGGCACCCCTTATTTCCCACAAAGGAGAACCATAGAGCAGAAAACTGGGGGCGCATTACGGTTCCCGGTTAATGCCTGAAGGGCTGTTCCGTCCCATTGCGGGATGTCTTCCGGTCGCCATTACGGCGACACGGGGCGGGATCCCCTGGCCGATCGGGAGGGCCTTGGAGGGCTAAATCACATCCAATTGCTCCCCACCCTGATGCGGGAGGCCTTCTGACCCGCGCAGACTGCAGTTGACCCTGAATCGACGCAGAAACCATCATGGACGCGACAACATCCCTGATCGCCGCCGGTGGCCCTCCAGTTAGCACATAGATTCCAGTTCGACTTAACGGGTCCGTGCTGGACTTGGGTTGGAGGGCCCACCATTCGGCGCTGGGGGCCCTGACTGACACAGGACTCTTCCAGTGCCTCAATATGAGCAAACATCAAAATTAGCTGTGGGGCCGGGCTGCCGGCCGGGGGTGTGGCTGACTGTCCCGCCCTGACGGCCGGAGGTGTGGCTGACTGTCCTGCCCTGCCGGCCGGGGGTGTGGCTGACTGTCCCGCCCTGCCGGCCGGGGGTGTGGCTGACTGTCCCGCCCTGCCGGCCGGGGGTGTGGCTGACTGTCTCACCCTGCCGCCTAGCGGAGTCTACAGCCGGCCGGCTCCCGCGCTCGCGCGACTGGCGGACGGCGAGTGTTGCCCCACGGTGATTGCCGCGGTGGCCCGCGAGGCGGACCCCGCGGCGAGAGGTGACGTCACGATTTGGGGCGGTGTGTATGCCATTGTGTGGCTGTTCCAATACAAAACAAGTTGAAATGTAAACATTAGGATGTTTGAGCATTAATAAGATGTGATCAAACTAAAAAAAACATTAAAGGCTGTCATGCTTCCTTTCAATATCAGAGGGCCCCGACCAACGTAAAAGGCCCCTCTGTCATTCGGGTCCCGTCCCCGTTCCTTGTTGAGCAAATGTTCTGACAAACTAGAAGCTCCCTGTTGAGCGCAGGAATGCTCTGTCTCAGTGGTCCCCAATCGGTACAAGAGGCCCTCCAACCGACATTTGAGATCACGACGCTACGGACCGTGACTAAATGACCGTAACTTTTCTTAATGTGACCCACAGCCAGCCCTTTGGGCCGTTCAGCCCCCAATCGAACCCTTGATCTTTGGTCTCAAGAGACCCTCGGGCCCCTCTTCGGGCCCCCTCAAACACGCTCCCGGCCGGCTTGGGCCACTTGCCATGACACCACCCCTGTAAGGCACTGTGGCTCCTAAACGTCAAAGCAGCCCCTCATTGTGTCAGGGGCCCCGAACATCTCGAATCGCAGCCCCGGCCTCATTCTTGCTTGGAAAATGGATCTCGAGTGCTCAGACGGACATGAAACCGACTGTTTGGCTCCGTGTTGAAGCGTTATGTAACATGGATAGAAAACCCTAAAAAGATGACCCTAATAGAATCCCTCTGACTGACATTTCAGGTCACGGCACTTTGGATGGGGCCAGGGCTTGAGTCAAATCGGGCCCTTGATCTTTAGTCCCGAGGCCTCTCCGGCCCCTCTTTGGACCTCCTTAAACAAAGCTAGTGACCAACTAGGGGTATGAACTGTGGGCCCCTGACCGACACAGGGGCCTCATTCACTGTTTCTGGGACCCAGACCAATGCAGACTGTGGCCCCCGGTCTTGCTCCCGCTTGGGAAATAGCCCCTAGGGTTCAGACTGACAGTGAATCAACTGTTCGATGCCCGTGGTCTCTGGCCGACATAGACACGCACATTGTCTCAGGGGTTCTCAAACAGTGCAAGATGATTTCTGACTGATATTTCAGGTCACGGCCCTACGGTCCGCGATTCTTTATGCGACCTATAGCCAGTCCTTCGGGCCCTTATGCCCTCCAGTCGGGGGTTGGACAGTCGGTTTCGTTGGGCCACCCGGGCCCCCCTTCGGGCCTTATCGAACACTGTGCCTGGTCGGCTTGGGCTCCTTGCGAACACAGGACCATCTAATAGGTGTTGTGGGCCCCTGATAGATACAGGGGCCCCGACCAGTGTAAATCACTGACCCCGGCTTTGTAAGCTCATTAGAAGTGGGCCCTCAGGCCCATACCGACACGTAACCGACTGTGCGGTACTGGTGGTGCCTGACCGAGACTCATGGTGTTCCTGATCAGCGCGAAGGGCCCTCAGACTGTCATGTGAGGGTCCGTCACCGCAGACCGGGGCTCCTGAATAAAACTCTGACCCACCCTTCGCGCCCATAGACCCTCCAATCAGAACCTTGATTGTCGGCCCCAATGGGCCCTCCAGGCTCTTCGAGCCACCTCGAACACGGCCTCTGGCCGACTTGGGGCCCATTGCCAGCACGGGGACTGTTGTGCGCTTCGTGGCCCCGACAAATGTACTTCTTTGGCTCCAGCTTTGCCCTGCTTGGGAAATGAGCCCTCAGTCGCATGCCGCCACGAGCCAACTGCGCGTTACTGGCGTTGCCAGACTGACAAATAAGTTCTTATCCACCCAAGGGCCCTGATCAGTGCGCAGGGCCCTCTGGCTGGCATTGGTGTGCCCGGCCATGGGGGCCTTGCCCCCCGAATGCGACGTCCGGCCGGCCTGTCCAATCCTTTGGGCCCTCAAATCAGGCCCTTTATCGTAGGTCCCGTGGGATCCGATGTGCCCTTCGGAAGCTTGGGGGGGGGGGGGACAGGTGCCCCTGTGCCCCCTCTGTCTGCACCACTGGCTGCGCTCCCAGCTCCTTAAACGCAATACGTTGCGTAACGAGCAAGTCGTTCCCCCTTCCCTGTATTAAAAGCAATCATGGTTCGCGATACCCCATCCCTTTTGTCCATCGCGGAACTTTTTTGATGACGGCTCTTACCTCTGCATTGACAAGGGCATACTTATATGCGGCGTGATAGACGTGACAACATGCACACCGCCTTAAAGTGAGCCAGTGTTCTGCATGTTGTCATCAAAAGGCTTCCATTCTGGCACATCCGCCAGCAAGGTTTTAGTGATTCAGTATTCCTCGGAGGCAAGTGCTCTCTCCCCCCTCTCGCCGTATGAAATTGTTACTGAGCAAAAAGTGCACCGATTCATCGGCTTACAGATGCTGCCATTGATAAATCCGAAGTAAAATTAAGGAGACCAAGAATGTTAGAAGTGTCTCGTCGTGCAAGAAGTTTGGCGCTTGTCAATGAGCTTTCGGCAAATATCGTTGAGTCGTCACCCCCCTCCCCCACCCCGCTGCTCGTCACACCAGTTTTTCTAAGCATCCTCCACCCGTGGCCATACGCCACGTAACCCCTGACGCGTTACGTGGGGTGATCGACGTGATGCAAAAATATACCTTAGTTCGTTTGTATTTCGCTTAGGATAGCTTGGGACGACCTGAAATGAAACAGTCACTCTGGAGGATTTTTCTGTTTAAATCATATTTTGCCTCCATCTGTAATAGTGTAATGAAGACTCCAATGGCCCATCTCATTCGTTAGAATTTCCGGGAATTCTTGGTTATGACGCCGAACACAATACTGCCGCAGGAGACGACACCGGCCGCTCAGTACGGTGCGTCGAGTCGGGGCCGTCGCCGGTTCTTGGGTTGTCGGCCGCAGGGTCCATTGTAAATCATACTTAGAAGGTACAACAGCTCGTTTAAGCAGTTTGTGGTAAGCAGCGTTCTGAACCGTAAAAATTTGAACACCTTGCTGGAACAGACGTGTGGGTGCTTTGGCCCGTGACCACATTTCCCGTGTCATTTCCCGCCTGCTATCAGTCAGGGCTCCCAATACCATTACGGCATTCCCCCATGTCTTAATATGTTTTGCCTCTTGAGTCAGGCTGGTGACACTTAAAATTGAAGGCCTTGAGTCCTTGAGTATATGGTCTTAACTTACTAGTGATGGCGCGATGCCCAGTCGCCAAAAAATCCATGCAATACCCTGAACATCCATGTGACATGCGTGCACTGAGCTCTAAATTTTAATGTCAGACTGCAAAGATGCTTGTTTACCCAGCATTTATGGATGTCTAAAAGTTCTGTTTGTCTAGTGCAAGGCAACATTTTGTCACATCTCAGTGTGCCATTCTATTCCATATTTTAAGGGATTATTATTGTGGTGCTAGAAGGAAGTTTTACACAAGGGTATTCTGGCCTGAGTTTAGGCACACTGGAGCCTTCGAGGTTCAATGGGGGTGAAGTGCAACAATTTTTTGGCAGAAATGCCATGACTGTAGAACTTATATTATTTTGTGGCAGCCCATGCTACCATGTAAATGAAATGAATGAAAGCATTTGAATTGAATGAATTGAATGAAATGAATGAAAAAATGAATGAAAGCAATGAATTAAATGAAAACATTGGCTGGCAAATTCAGTATGATTATAGAACTTTTTAAACATGGCAGTGGAATCAATAGTGGCTGGTAGATGCAAGTCAAATTATCAGAAAATTCTTGAAAAGCAACAGTCTGCAAAGGTTTCATGTTATAGCAATTGCTAAACATGTTGGGAATAGCAGCAAAATCAGACAAAAGCTAAGTCTATATACACCATAAAATGTGAATGATCTGCCACCTTTTGCTTATTGGACCTCTGCTATGCTGGTCATCTTAGCCTACCATGTATTTTTTCAGTTTGGACCTGGGGCACTATTGTACATTGTATTTTAATCCATTTGACCATGTTCAGCAATGCACTCAAATTGGTCAATTTCATTATATTTTTTAATATTTGCATCAACCATTTGCATCCAGAGCCATGCTCACCACCACCAGCAGGTTTATTTTTCAAAAATAACTAATTTTACTGTATTTTGGCTACACCCCTGTGCAAACCTTAGTGAACTTTGGAAAATGTGCTTCAAAATTACATGGTCTGGTTCCAGTGCATCACTATGAGCTGGTAAACATGGATACCTATAAATGGTGGGAACAAAATAATTCATGAATTTTACATTGAGTTGTAATCATTCATTGCCCTTTAAGATGTTGCAAATGTTCTTTTGGACCTATGGCTGATGGCCAAATGGAGGCCTATTCCCCACTCTGTGTAAGCCCACTTGACCTATGACATAGCATACCTAACTCGATGATAATTAAAGATTTTAGGGTGCGTAGACTTAAGATTCCTTTAATGGCAAAGTAAAGTAAGTGTAGTTGTTTCCAAACAAGTTTGGTTGTTTACATGGCAACACCTAACTCAAGCTGCTGACTGATAACCATTCGGTCAAGCCATACATACAGTGATAGTCCTTCTAGGGTAGTGTTTAATGGAAGAGTGCCAATGTTGTGATCTTTGAGATTTTTGCTCATTGTGAGAAAAATAAGTGATATCACCACGTCACATTTCTGAAGGGGACAAACGTGTCGCCATTGGCAGCTGCCATGAGAACCACTAGGAACTCATCTATTGGGAGAAAGGCTGTGGCTATAGGGGCCTTTTTTGTTCTTGTGAGTGCATACTAAGTGTGGTATCATTTTGCATGGGGCATTATGGAGAAGTGCCTTATTGCCAGCTGGGTATCCCAGGTCTTGCACAATGCACACTCATGATCTCGACAGTCAGCATTTTTGTATGTTGTAGTACAAACATAGTCATGTTTTCCTGCTACCTTTCCTGTTATAGTACAAACATTATCAAGTGTTCCTGCTATATTTCCTGTTATGGTACAAACATAGTCAAGTTTTCATGCTATCTTTCCTGTTATGGTACAAACATAGTCAAGTTTTCCCGCTATCCTTCCTGTTGTGGTACAAACAAAGTCAAGTTTTCCTGCTATCTTTCCTGTTATGATACGGACATCATCAAGTTTTCCTCGTATTTTTCTGTTATGGTACAGTCAACTTTTTTTTGTGGTACAAACATAGTCAAGTTTTCCTGCTGTCTTTCCTGTTGTGGTGCAAACATAGTCAAGTTTTCCTATTTTTCCTGTTGTGGTACAGACATAGTCATGTTTTCCTGCTATATTTCCTGTTGTGGTACAAACATAGTCAAGTTTTCCTGCTATCTTTCCTGTTATGGTACAAACATCATCAAGTTTTCCTGCGATATTTCCTGCTGTGATACAAACATAGTCAAGTTATCCTGTTATCTTTCCTGTTGTGGTATGAACATAGTCAAGGCTTCCTGCTATGTTCCCTTATTAAAACAGCATAATTGGGCTCAATCGTATTCTGCAATACAGAGATGGCAACTACTACCCATCTCGCATTGTCCAAAAACCCCACTGCACCGGACCGAGCAATCCCACTTGCTGGCCTAGGGAGGACGACCCCCGCGTGCAAATGCGGCGGGAGCGTGCGGGGCGCGCGCTGACGGCCTGCCCGGTGTCCCCCCAGAGCCGGCGCCCGACCGGAGCGGCGCCAAGATGCGCGCCCTGGCCACACTCCTGCTGGTCGCCGCCGTCGCCGCCGCTGGGGCCGACGGCGAGGCCGAGGAGCCCGTCGACAAGAGCGTCTTTAAGGCTCGCATCGAGGTCAGCAACCGCGACCTCTGTCGGTTCAGAACTCACGTCATGCTGAAGCTGATTGCAGAATGTCGTGTGCATTTTTATACTTTCAAATGTTCATGTGGTCTTCGCCGTTTTTGGCGTTTCTGCGTGCTTACTGCGCGATTCGGTTGACAGAGCTGCGGAGGATGACGTTTGAATCGGCTCCCCGAGGTGAAGAAATTCATCTACGAGGACATCCCTTTCTTTCACAACGTCATCTTCAAAGCGGTGCCCGGTGCGCCGCCTGAAGTCGTTTTGCTCAACAGACTGGACCAGGTTAGCAAGTGTATAGTTCTCATAATCGATAGCTGTGATGGACATCATTTTGACTGAAATGTGTATAGAAGTCATTGCCCATGTGAACAGAATCCCGCGTGGTTGCACTCTGCGGACTGGTGGGGGAGGGAAAGGCGGCGGTGAGTGCAGCAAGTGTTCGTCATGAGAACTTCGCGAATATTACGAAAGCGGTACTTTAAACCAAAGGTGTGGAGACCGTTACGTGCAGTGAACCTGAACACACGGCGATCTGGCGCTTCTGCCCAAAATCGAGAACGTGGTTCCGTGATACAGTGCCTAGCCACCCACTGCGTGTTGGCCGCGACTGACATGGATCATGGCACGTGACGAGGGCGCGCCGCGCCGTCCCCTCCCCATGCCGCCGCTGACCCGTGCGCCGGCCGCCGCAGGAAGTGGAGCGGATCGACCTCTCCAAGCTCAACCGCAAGGAGTGCAACGCACTGCTGGTGAAGAAGGGCTTTTTCCGGCGCAAGAGCCGCTCGGACGAGGTGCCCGAAGAGTACCAGGAGGGGCCGTACGCGCCGCACGAGGAACTGTGAACGGCGCGCGCTGAGCGGCCGCCGGGCCGGACCGGCCGCGCCCGTCCGCTGTCGCCGCCCGATGACGCCCCGCCCTCAAAGGCAGCCGCCTGGGACGGGGCCGATGCTGCGGCGGCGCGGGCGAGGGTCGGTCGGGCCAGTCCGGCGCCCCGCGACGGGAAGAGAACGGGTGGGTGGGAGGGGGGAGGGGTAATCGTGCTTGATCGTAGTGTCCGCTGTTGTTGATTTGCCCTTGCGGCGTGACGCGGCGGATGGCACCGGCAGCTTGTCACGGTCGAGGCGCGGCCGACGCCATCACGGCCGCGCTCCGCTGAACACGCGCGCGCACATTCCGCGACGCCACCCACAACGCGCACGCCGGCGGACGTCCGAGTCCCGCATCACAAGCCGAAGAAGTCCCAATGTCCGCCTGTCGCGTTCAGTGTGAGTCGGTCCCGGCTGACTCCACCGAGCGCAGTGAGCGTGCTCGCTGAGCTCGTGCCCACGCGCGAGGCTGGCGGCAGCTCCACAACGGCCAGTGACGGCCGGTGGCCTCTGTGACCTGCGGGTACGCCGTCAGCGCGTCCTCGACGCCAGCCCGTCCGCGCCAGTAGTCACTTCTCCGCGCCGATGCAGCTGCTCGGATGTTTCCAGGGGGGGGGGGGGGGGGTAGCGGAGTGGTCGTTGCTTGAGATCTATGGGATTATGATGTACTCAGTAATCATTTATAATCACGTGTGCGCACGTGTGAAGCGGCCGTATTTTTTACACGTTTTTCGCAAGTGACATAACAGCATTCTGACGTCAATTATTTTCGGATTTTGTTATCTCTGTGATTACGCTTTTGGCAACAAGCAATAAACAATCAAACCACCGCTGCTGCCTTCTGCCGCATGCGGAGCCGGAGACCACCACGAATGCAGCCTGTTGGAGCTTGAAGCATCACGTCTGCACGGTGAGTTCGCCATCGGCGGGCGCCGTCCGCCGCGGCTGATAGACGGAGGTCACGCAGCGGCCCGCTGGCTGGCGGCGGTGTTTCTGATCGCGCCGTCACAGTCGCCGACGGGGTCTCCCGACACAGCGGGGGGCGCCGCTGGCTAGTCCTAAGCCGCGTCGGGCACGGGAGGGCGCCCATAAAGTCTTGCCCCAAAACACGGGCTGGTCACCAGACTTCTGCGCGCTGATCGCGAGAACGAAAAGCCATGGCAGTTCCTTGCCGGGCGTCGGTGAAGTTGGAAGTCTTCCGTGACTCACCCGGGCTCAGAAGGGACACCGGCTTTACCCAGGGGTTCTGATATCCGGCCCCCTACAGCGTCACGTGGGGGACGGCGGCGACCCCAGGCCAATGGTGCATATCACTTCAAAGCGTGACCGCTCAGACCTGTGACGCTCGACAGCTGTCACGCGGCACGTGGCCGCCGTCGGACCTGTGAAGCTCGACAGCCGTCACGCCTCACAGTGCACGGTACTGTGGACCACGGCCGTTATCATCCTCTGGCTTTGAGCGTTGAGAACGGCGTACCCAGCGACCGGACTGGACCGGCACTGATGGATCCCATATCCATGCGAGGACAGCACGCGGGCGCGCGGAAATTTCCGTGATGTTTGACGCTGGTGACCCCACCCGTCACGCACGTCTATCCACGGTCCCATCATGTAGCGAAGCTAACGCAGCTGCACGGAGCTGACGCAGCTGCGTAAACCTGACACAGGCGTTATCGCGCATTTGCATAGCTGTGTGATGCTTTCACAGGTAGACGTTAAATTCCCCTACATTGCTCTGCACTCCAGCTTCAAAAATGTGCAATGTCCCATTGCGTTCGCTAGTGTTTGACTTCGATGCTATAGCCGACTCGCACGCGTGAACTTTATTCACGACGCACGGGCCAGGCTGCGACAGCGCGAATAGCTACGAGAGCGAGCTTAGAAACGTCCGACCATCTCAATGTATTCACGTGGCTGCAGCGGCGTTCGATCGGCGCGGTGATGCACGCTGCCACCAAAAACTGACGCCGCATCCCGGACCTCACAGCTCGCCTCTGAATAGTTCGCCAATGATCAGTGTCGGCGCAACACCAGCCGCGAAGCGCCGCTACACGCCGCAAGCGGAGGAAAACACGCGCCGTACCTGACGTCGAAACAACATTTTATTACAAAACCGTGGTCGTGCGCGTCAGAGGGGACGCTCTGGGATAGACGGACCGCCCGTGGGACACACTACACTGTAACAGCACGTAAATGCAACGGAATCAAAACGGTCCGGCGCGGCCAACCCCACTCTCGCGGCGCGCCGGCAATCGCGCCCGAAAACCAAGCAGCTTAAATAGGTACAAAGAAGTATCACTACCTAGTTAAATAGCCTGCCAGGAGAGCGCCGGCACCAGGCGCGCGGCGGCCGCGCGGCGCCGCCGCCACGCTCGAGAACAATGAACAGCTGCGTCCGTGGCGCCGGCCGGGGAGCGCGGCGGAGAGCGGCGGGCGGTACACGAGCGCGCCGGCCGCGCGATGCTTGATGAGAGGACAGCGCTGACTAGGTGACGCCGGGACCGCGGGTAAGATGCCGGCCAGCCGGCCGGTCGGGCCGACTCCCGGCCGGCTCGGGGCCATTAGTCCTGCCGGAAGGCGGCCGGGCTGCGTTAGCGGCGGCCACGCGGGACCGGGAACGGGGGGCGTGTCAACTGTCAACACACCTCGCTTCCGCAGGGGGCGGGTAGCCATTGGAGGCTACCTGGGGTAACCAGGCCCATGTGGCTGCACTCAGAGGTAAGGCAGTTCAGCGATTCGATACCTTAACGTGGCTGTTGCCAGACTCTTCCAGCTCTCCAAAACCCAGGAGCAATGGATCGCAACTTGGCTCCGATCTATGCGATCTGAACAACCTCCATTATTTCCCTTCATTTCGCAGCAGAGCCGATTCGCCTCAGTCGCGTCCACCGTCTCCCGCCTGCCTTCAGTTTTTACCTTGTCTAGATTCTCTACGAAGTGTGAGTCGGCGGCCTCCTCCAGCATCTCTACCAGACTTGGTACCACGTGATTCGGCACCACGATGCCTGCGGCGGCCGACACGGAAAGGTCAGGTCAGCCTCTCGGCCGGCGCCGGAAGGTCAGCAGAGCCGGGCAGGGTAAACGGGAGCCCCGAGTACCCGACCGGCGCCGGGTGGTCAGCAGAGCCGGGCAGGGTACACGGGAGCCCCGAGTACTCGACCGACGCCGGGCGGTCAGCAGAATCGGGCAGGGTAAACAGGAGCCCCGAGTAGCCGACCGGCGCCGGGTGGTCAGCAGAGCCGGACAGCCGACACAGAAGCCCCGAGTACCCGACCGGCGCCGGGTGGTCAGCAGAGCCGGGCAGCCGACACAGAAGCTCCGAGTGCCCGACCGGCGCCGGGTGGTCAGCAGAGCCGGGCAGCCGACACAGAAGCTCCGAGTGCCCGACCGGCGCACGCAGGCCATGACATCAGAAGGCTCGTGAGTCGGGAAGACCCATAATGAAACACGAGGGTCACGAAAGCCCGGCACGAACCGCCTACGCCACGAACCAACTCACTGCCATGTTGCACGCGAAATGAACGGCCCCAAACAGCGGACTATCTCGAGCCAACTGCGGCAAAAACTGCTATCTTGCCCACCACACTGCTATCGCTCATCGGAAACACGGATTAAAGCCTATCACGCGTCACGAAACTACCCTAAACTGGGCGGCACTCCACACCTCCCGCCGCCAGCGTCACACCCCGCGGCGACCGAGCGCGGGCGGCGCCACCGGCCGGCACTCACCCACAATCTTCAGCTGGTCGGAGCAACGCACCCTGATGACCTGCATCTTCTGCTGCGCCTGGCTCACGTTGGCCGACGACAGCACGCCCTCCACGCGCGTCCATACGTGCAGCACCGACCCTGGCGGACAGGGGCGCGCGGCCGGTCCACACACGGCGCAGATGGGCGGCACGCGGCGCCTAGTGAGCTCGCCGAAGCATGCGCCTTTCGGCGGCGCTGTCGTGGGCTGCACACGCCGCCTGAGCGATCGCGATGTGCGTTACGTGACGGTGCAGGGCTAAGCTAGCACCCACCACGGTCGGAAGCATCACAGCCTGAGCAACCCGCTGATGACCACCACACCATCTGTTTCAGTGACACGAAACCGCGAAATCCATCCACAGTTAGGCGAACCTCAAAGCCTGCGCCCACTCTTGAATGCGCAGCCACTTAGCCTGCTAACCCCGCCCGAGAGCAGGAGACAGACCACGTCCGTAGGCCGCCGCATGCGGTCGGGGCGAGACGAGCCGGGCCAGGCCAACCGACCGAGCCCCGAGGCCGGCCCCGCCGGCGGCCGCCACTCACCTGAGAGCACGTGGTAGGTGCGCGCGCGCCGGCCCACGTCACAGTCGACGCCCACGCCGCGTCGCTTGCACACGCCGCGCCAGTACGCGTGCGAGCAGGTGGTGACCGAGGCGTCGTACTGCTCTTGCCAGTGGCGCTCCGCCTCGTCCGGCTGCACGCGCTTGTACTTCTTCTTGATCTCGGCCAGCGTCTCCATACGGATCTGGCGGAAGTCGGACGCTGGTGAGGCGCGGACGCGGGGGAGCGTCGCTCGCCTGGTACGACACAGCTGACATGCGCGCCACTGGTTCCGAAACACGAGTCTGACTCCGTCTCCCGGGTCCAAGGGAACGGGCAGCACTACTTCCCTGACTGACTGCACTTCTTGCGTGAGGCGCACGCTCGAAGCTAGCCGCCCGCCCCAGTCACCACCGGCTGGCTCCTATGCAGCCTTCCACACACCGCACGCCTGCAGCCCACCGCACACCTGCAGCCTGCAGCCCACCGTACACCTGCAGCCTTCCGCATACCGCACACCTGCAGCCTTCCGCATACCGCACACCTGCAGCCTTCCGCATACCGCACACCTGCAGCCCTCCGCATACCGCACACCTGCAGCCTTCCGCATACCGCACACCTGCAGCCTTCCGCATACCGCACACCTGCAGCCTTCCGCATACCGCACACCTGCAACCTTCTGCACACCGTACACCTGTAGCCTTTCGCACCCTACGACACACGGGCCTGACCTGCACGCCAGTGTTCGGTCGACAGACGGTGAACAGCTGCTCGTCCTTCTTCAGCTGCTTCAGCTTGCTGCCCGGGTCGGCCAGGACGGCCAGCATCGCCGTCAGCTTGCCGTTCCGAATCTGAAACCGAGCTCAACCTGCTGCCAGCTGCACCGGAAAGGGCTCCCCTGAGGGGGAGGCGTGATCACACGCGCACGCACAGCAACAAGCGCGGACGCGGGACCGGATGGCGGAGGCCACGTGACGCTGCCCTGCGGGAGAGCGAAACACGAATATTTGCCGCTTTTGACTTAGTCTTCGGGAAGTTACTTAACGCTCCGACTTATCCAGACCGTCCATCCCCGATTTCACGCTGGAATCGATTTCGTAGTGAAGCAAAGTGGGAAGCGACCGAAGTCACGTACCGCTCCGGTTTGAAGCGAGCAGGCGACCATGGCATCATGCACAGCTTGGCACATAGCCAGCAAAGCCACTTTTTTCTCAAGAGATGGCACCACAAGGCAGGCTCAAAGAATCAAGTAGATGCCGGTCCGCGCCGAGCAATACTGGAGGAGAAACATCAAATGGAGGCAAGGTCGTTTGAACATTTTCTGATTGGCGTGGTTAGAACAATCCCAGTGCCCTTATTCTAGCAATGCCTTTCCGTCTCATAGTAATTATTTTCTGACATTACCAGAATGCAAGACACTCATTATAATCTGTCGCCAACATCATCACTTGCTTGGCATAACGATAATCTCACTCACGCACCTTTCAGTTTTGACCGGCTCCGATGAGATGTGCGCGGCCGTGCCCTCTCCCCTCCCCACCCCACCTGCCACCAGACACCCCGGTGCCTCAACAGCCGCACTCACCTGGTGAGACACGTAGAAGCCCTCGTCGCTGCCCTCCAGCTCGGCACACTTGTCCTGCGCCTCCTTCCAGCTGCAGCCACGCTCCACGTGCACTGTGTGTAGCTCAGTGCGGCCGGTGCCCGTGGCGTGCTTGTGCAGGTACACACGCAGCTTGGTGCGCCGCACCGAGCCCTCCTGCGAGCCGAGATCTGCCAGGCGCCGGCCGGCCGCCGTCACCGACGTGCACCGCGCGCCGGAATGGCGCAACGACCGATAACGAGACCGCTCAGCTGCTGGCGGTCATGTTGACGTGCCGGTCCAGTGAGGCCGCCAGAGATAGTGACAATGAGGCCAACAGAGATGGTGACAATGAGGCCAGCAGAAATGGTGACTGGTTAGCCCACAGTTCAAGCCAAAGGCATGGCGATGTTGACGTTTTGATCTGAGGTTATTCTTTTTGCAAGCCCACGTTCACATTTCCACAGCTGAACATTCCGAAGAACAAAAGGACCGGAACACAAGCATCTGAGGAGAACAGCAAACCCCAACATACTGCTGCCCCCCTGACTGCACTGCCGCCCCGCCCCACTGACCGAGAATGCCCATATCGTATCTGCCCGTCTTCTTGGCCTGTGCCACGATGGCGGAGAGGGTGTCGGTGAAGTACTTGAAGAGCCGGTTCTGCAGGTCCACCGGCATGCCCAGTATCCTGTGACAGCCACAGCGGCGGTCAGCGTCCCACTTAACAACACTAACGTGCTGAACAAGCTCTGGCACCGACCGGGAAGGGGGGGGAGGGGCAAAGCGAGCATACGATTGGCAGAACTGCACACAGCAATTCCGAGAACATTTAAACGAAGTTCAATGGGGCATGACGACTGCGGGCGAAAGTTCTAATCCGGCTTTTGTCATGCAGAGCAGGGCCTATCAAGCAATCACGAATGACAGAAACACAGCCGGCCACACACAGGGCAGTGCCTCCGAACACGACACGAACACGACCCGTGTGTCCTTGCGCATCACACCCAACAGCGATGTCACCGGCGCAACATGACACCGCTCACGACCCCCTGGGACCTCTTGAGCCGGCGCAGTCAGCGGCCTACCTGTTGAGGAACTTGCTCATGTTGTTGAAGTCCTTGTCCAGCATGTAGACGCGCTGTTCGTGGGCGATCAGACCGACTCCGACCAGCGCCCTTTTCACGTCTGCCCGGGGCACACGACAGGGTAACGTCGTCAGTGACCGTACACACGGGCACAGACGTTCCCGTAACATCCAGCATGCCATCAGTAAAATAGACCTAATTGTGCGGTCCGGGAGCTCGCTTCGGCGCAGAAATTGATAGCTCAAAACGAATAGGTCAGATTTAACTCCCATTCACCACGCACGTTAGTCGCAAAAAGTAGACTCGCCAGGCGCGGTCCGTCCACATGGTGGACCCGACCCGGAACGTCCAGACAGCTGACAGAGTCCAATGCGGTGACAAAATGCAGACTGCCCGTCCCAGCAATAGCCCAGCGCAGTGTGAAAGGGACCGAAACACCATCATATCTTGACCGTCAGGCGACAATCAGCTGGTCCAGTTTGTCGCCCCGCAGCGCTGCCTACTAATACGCGAGCCGACGCGGCGGCGGCGTACCGAGGAAGAAGTTCCCCTTGTAGTCGTCAGGTGGCGGCACGAGCGGCTGCTCGTAGCCCATGACCGTCTTCATGGTGGCCTCGAGCGCTGAGCGACCGTACTTGTTGTCTATGTTGAAGCGCGACAGGTCACGTGACTCGGTGGCGCGCCGGTCGCCGTGTGTTAGCGCACCCTGGCGGTGGAGGCGGCAGGTCACATGCCGGGTAACAGCATGACTCCAACATGACCACCGAGCAATGCCTACAAACAGACCGGGTACGTAGGAGGCTCCGCTAAAAAACGTCCCTTCGCCCATTGCTGCTTGCAGACCGCTTCTGTCGATCACCTCGATTCATGGCATCAAGTAGATGCCATGCACAGAAGCAACCGACAGAAACGATCCGCAAGCAGCAATGGACACCGCTTGCTGAACGCCTGCGAGCTACTCGACCAGCGGCATCAAAGCCCTCCGATCCCGACGATCGTCGCCACCAACAGCAAGCAAGACGTACAACTCTGCTCGCCGGCACTCTCACGCGTGCCGCCTATTCGCTGCACCGGGCGGCGATCGCCTCGCACGCGCACGAGCGCTCCTCACGCTCTCACCAGACTCTCGAGCCGCTTGGCGACGATCGAGGCGAAGCGGCGCTCGCCGGCCAGCTCCGAGATGAGGAACACGTACTCGGGCGCGTTGACCTGGTTACTGCGGTGGGTCCGACCTGCAGGCGAGGCAGGCCGGGGCGCCGTCAGCCGCCAGCCGTGCTGACGCACAGACACCACGGGCTCGACGCTTCCACTGTGAGTGGTTACGGGGGTCGTCCGGCAAACGCATGTGTGTTTTGAAGCCTAAAATTAATTAAGATTAAGTGAAACCATACAGCGAGCACATCTACGAGCACGCCACACCCAGGTGGCTTGGATCTTTGTCCTTAGTTTTGAAATTCATGAGCCAATTGCGGGCCTAGCAAATACAGTTAAGTGGCGTGACACGAGACAGGTGAGTGAAGGTACACGGTATATATATATATATATATATATATATATATATATATATAATATACATATATATGTATTTTGCTTGAGTCCCCCTCAGTCCCTTCACTTCAGTGCCCACGCGTCCACTCCGTCCCGCCGCCGGCCCGCACCCACGCCACAGGCCAGAGGTCCCGACTCACCGAACTGCTGTATGGCCCGGTCGGCGCTCCACGGCAGCTCGAGCGTGATATGCACCCGGCGCCGCTGGTTCTTGACGCGCCGGTCACTCTGCAGCGAGATGCCCGACGAGGCGGCCTCCGAGATGATGGCGATGTCCTTCTCTCCGTCCATGAAGCGCCGCTTCTCCGTCAGATTGAGCGTCTCCAGCGGGATGTCCTGTTCCGAACGCGACTCGTACGCGATCTGGCCGTCGTCGTTCTGCACCACGCGCCCCTTCCGCCCGGTCATCTGGCGGCGACAGCAGCGTCAGGGGCAGCAGCGACATCAGGGACTGCAGCAGCGTTAAGGGATGCAGCAGCGTCAGGAGCTGCAGCAGCGTCAGGGGCTGCAGCAGCGTCAGGGGCGCCAGAGACGTCAGAGGCGTCCGGGGCTGCAGCAGCGTCAGGGGCGTCAGTGGGGATAACAGCACGTAATCGGCAGTCCGCTCGTCGACTGCGTGGCGTCACGAGGCGTTCACGATGGAGAGCAAACCCTTGGCGGTAGTAGCTACAAAAATAGCCACCCTACGCCCCCAACAAACACCCCTATCTGCTTTCAACACCCCCACAACTCGGACAATAATTTCGCTTATAGAATCTTTCACTTCACGTCGCCAGTCCCCGTCTCGTATCCTTACATATGTACACCCCAATATAATGCCCAGACTCGGCACGTCCACAAGGGCTACACACTGATAGGTATTTCCGTACTGCGGCATACCTCCACAGGCCAATGCCGAACCCCGCTCGTAACCACCCCCGCCCCGGCCCCAATCCTAGCCCCAGCCCCAGCCCCAGCCCCAGCCCCAGCCCCCGCCCCAGCCCCAGTCCTAGTCCTAGACCTAGTCCCAGTCCCAGTCCCAGTCCTAGTCCCAGCTCCAGCCCCACCTCAGCCACGTTCTCGGGGCCGCCCAGCTGGTCAATGAGCTCGTCCAGCGTGTTGGCCGGCAGCCGGTCGCCCAGCTTCTCCATCTTGCTCAGCAGCTCATCCTTCATGAGGCAGGCCATCTCGACGGCCGACCGGCTGGGCGGGTGATACTCGCCGTCGGCCGCCCGGTTGCCGACCGTCATGTAGGCGAACTTGTCCTTGGGCGGCGGCTTCTTCGGCTTGGCCGCCTTCCGCTTCCGACCGCCACCCCACTCTGCCGTGCAAATGGAAGTCAGACTGCGGGGTCTGAGGTCAGACTGCGGGGTCTGAGGTCAGACTGAGGGGACACAGGTCAGGCTGCAGGGTCTGAGGTCAGACTGTGGGGGCACAGGCCAGACTGCGGCGGCAGAGTACGTGGGACTGCGGGGTCACAGGTCAGACTGCGGTGGCAGAGTACGTGGAATTGCAAGGTCACAGGGAGGTCATACCACTGGACCATTGATAATCAGGAATGTCAGGGCGGGTCACTCCGTGATGTCTGAGCGAGGATGGACTTCAGGGTCATGGGGAGTATTCCCGTAGGGTCAGGTACGGTCAGGCTGCCAGACCAGGGACGGGTCAGGCAGCCGGATGGGATGAACCAGACTGCGCGGGGCCGAGAGTGGCCTGTCGAATCAGTGGGACATCAGACTGTAGTCAAGATCAGTAACGGCCTTGGTCGGTCGGACGTACCCCTCTGAGGTCAAGAAGAGGTCGGAGCGGCCCCGAGCCGGCCGCACACAATACTCAGCAGCATCCCAGGTCAGAGCTAAGGGACAGGAGGACCTCGGGCAGCCTGCCCCTGCAGTCAGTCCCTGGTCGGGAGGAAATGATTGAGACTTTCGGTATTCTGGGACGCTTTGACTTATCGTCATGCAGCGCTCTCGTGAGGAAGGGTCGAAGGTAAGCACGTGTCAGGGATGACCTGAGCACGTCAGCCGCCACCCTCACAGGGGTTCCGCCGCATATGGAGACCAGGGGAAGGACTATATTATGGGCCACCCACTGCGATGTGCATCGGGTAGGTTTAGTGGTGCAAACCCCCCAAATATGTGGGGGTTTGTTGACGCGGGCTCAATCATCCAATCCCAATGATTGAGTTTCAAATGATTTTGTAGGTTCACGACCGAGGACCACGAGAACAAACGCTGGAGACATTCTGAAAAACAGCAAACACGCCAAGCACACCACGTAAAACAGAAAGCTGCAGACACAGCCGGGCGCGCTGACGTTCTGCTGCAGACATCGGACCTTGCGCGGTAAAACCACAACACGAGCTGAATCAGTGGACGCAAGGTCCGTGTCTGACCTCAGATCGCAGGGGCGGTGCCCAAGCCTCCACCCCCCCCCCCCCCCCTCCACCCGACCGCAAAACCGCCAACCGCCACTCCTGCATCAGCCACACGGCCACTATTTACCTAGCACGCAAGACAGGCAAGATGGTTACGGCAGACGATGACCAGAGCAGTAACGGCACTGGATACGCACTCCACTGGTTCGTCGATTCATTCCAATCAGGCGCAACGGGGAGAGCCATGGCAGCATTGCCACAGCGGCACCAGAGGACGACGGAGTAAATCAGGGATTGCGTCGGATGCGGCTGCAACTGCTCACCTTCCTCGTCGTCGGTCATGTCTGCGGACTGGACGTCCGAGTCGCTGTCCTCGGCCTCCCCCTCCTCCTCGTCCTCGTCGTCCGACGAGCCTGAGGACGGGTCACAAGGGTCACGGGTCACATGGGCCGCGGGTCTGCGCTCGCTCTCAGCACCGCACGTCGAGCGGCGGGGTGAGGGCACAAAACCGCGTGCGGAGGTTCAACACAACGCCCCAAACCCGGGCGAAGTCACGGCCAACGCCCAAGGTACCCGCATTCCAACGGAGAGGTGGTGGGACGCGCTATAGACTAGCCAGAAACCCAGCACTGATTTCAAGTCGTGTGACTCGAACAGAAATTAGCTGTCTGGATACACCGGCAAAGGCAGTACGATAAACATCGCACCAAACCGCAGCAACGGTGGGAGAGCGAGGGCTGTCCGTGGTTTTCTGGCATTTCACCACGCCTCAGCTGCTCAGCAGCGCCCCATTCCGCCGCGAATGGGGCGCTGCGGCCGCCATCCGCGCCACCCGGCTGCTTACGAGGACCGAGCTGCTGTGTGCCATCCATCGTTCAACCACACAGACGCCAATACGCTTCAACAAATGGGGTCATCGATCCGCATGCCGCCCTGTAGTCATAGTCCAACGCGCCGAGCCGTATTGACTCACCGGACATTTTGTAGTCGGAGTCGGCGCCGCGTCCGCTGCCGTTGTTGCGCCGGCCGTTCCTGGAGACGTCCGAGTCGGACTCGGAGCCGCTCGACGCTCCCTTGTACCGCTTGATGGCCTTGCGGGCGGCCTGGCGCACTGTGGGGCGCGGCACGGCCGTCAAGGGTTCGGCACGGCACAGAACGTCAAGGGCTCGGCATGGCAGGTCTGTCAAGGGCACGACACGGCATCGCCGTCAACGGTACGGCACGGCACGTCCGTCAGGAGCACGGCACGGTACGCACGTCAGGAGTACAGCTCAGCACGCACGTCAGGAACACGGCGAGTCCGTCAGAAGGGGACGGGTCCACCAGAAGAGGGCGTGTCACGCAACTCGAGGCGTGTCGCAAACAAGGGCACGCGGCTACGCGGAGCGTACGACCGCGTCACGTGGCGTTGCCAATGCTGACAATACTTTGACACTTTGACGTTGGAGGACTTGTTCAAACCGGCTTTGTTTGGCACACCTGTGTGTTAACTGGCCACAATAAGACACAGCTGTTCTCACACAAAATTTTTGATCATGTGTCTTACAGGTGTCAAGGGTGATCATGAAGCTATCATGAAGTATCTGAAGGTGTCAAAAATTTGCGTGGTAGCTGAAACTTAAAGTGCACGTGAAACTCGATGCTTGCTGATTTCAACAGTGGGAATCAGAAGGCAGACCACATATCTCTTCAGGTAGAGTAACTTGTATAAACACTGAGCCATGGTAGTTTCATGAGACCATAGTCTCTTCAAGTGAGCCTTTTGACCATTAGCTCTGCAAAGTAACTCACGACAACGGGAAAGAAGTGAGCAAAACCCCCACCAACAAACCACGCTCGCTCGCCACCGCAGCGCCGCCGGCTCGTCACCTGGCTTGCGTTTCCCGGAGCTGCCGCCGCTGCTGCCGGCCGAGGGAGCGGCCGCCTCGCTCTTCATCTCGTCCAGGATCTGCTGGAACTCTGGCGACGGCTTGTCCGGCTTGAGGCCGAGCAGGCGGTTGATGCGGTCCCGGTCCGGCGCCGGGAAGTGCTTCTCAATCAGCGACTGGATCACACCCCTGCCGAGCGCACCGGGTCAGCGGTGGTGAGGTCACGAGGTCAGGCGCCGGGAAGTGCTTCTCAATCAGCGACTGGATCACACCCCTGCCGAGCGCACCGGGTCGGCGGTCGTGAGGTCACGAGGTCAGGGATCAGGCGGCAGAGCACACGGCCAGGAGATTCCCCACGTGGGAGCGTTGGAGGACTACGAAAGGCGGGGGTCGAGAGCCACAACCCCATGTAAGGGCATCGTGGGCCACAGGATCACCAGAACACGACAGGAACGCCACGTGACAGGCAAATATAGCGGTTTCCGGCAGCGCCAATCTCGAAATTGAAATCGCCAAGCCTTGAAATCTGCACAAATGACGCAAATAGAGGACACCAGTGCGTTCAAACAGCTCCAGGTATTGACTCGAGCACGAATCGACTACATGTTGCGAATCAGTTGCATGATCAGTGACGGAGTAGCTGCAAATCCATATCACAGAACTGGCCAGAACAGCTTTTCCTTTTAGTACGATATTACACGTGACTCCCACACCGTACATAGCGCACAGTAAGCTTAACAGGCCGGCCGCCTGGCGACTTCGCCTGACGACCTGCCCGGCCATCGTCACCGCTTGCGGCGCTCACTTGGCCGTGGAGACGAAGTCGGTGAGCTCGCCCTCGTCCCGCTCCAGCTGCTCGAGCGTGCGCGCCTCACCGGTCGACTGCATACCGATCACCACGCACTTGCCCATCTTGATCGCGTTGCTGTCAGGTCCCAAGCAGGTGTGAGCGGCGAGTGAGTGACGACACGCCAGACAACGGCAGCACCGGTGCCGGTGTGAGCGGCGAGTGTGACGACACGCCAGACAACGGCAACAACAGCCGTTCCAGGCGCGAGCGTCGCGTAGCCCGCCGCGGGCGCCGACAGGGACGAGCGGTTCACGGCGAGGGCCAGGGGTGGCACGCGGATGCAGGCGTCTGTTCGCGTGGGCGGCAATGACGAAAGAACCACATATGCATGTGGCGTGCATGATTTCGCAAGCGTTTGTCCCAGCGCAAGATTATGCGCATCGCCAACAGGTCGGGCTTGGATCTAAGGCATTGGGATGCACTTTCACAGAAACCTTCGCATGGTTGTGAAGCAATTTCGGACGCAACGGACGGTCCAGCTGATAACGTCACAACGTTGACACCAACCATAGCACGACTGTCAAAACTGGCCTGACCGCGACCCCGCTACTCTGACCGCGACACCATTGGCCTGCACCGACATCACTCACCTGGCCGTGTTGACGACGTGCTTGACCTTGGCGCCGATACAGAGGTACTTGAAGAAGCGCTGGTGGGCCGACCAGAACTGGCCCCACATCGACTTCTTGAGGGTCTTCTCGGCGTCGATCAGCTCAGCGGCGCGCTGGAACTTCTCGCGCGCCTCCACCCACTGCCGGCGCGGGGTGCCACGTCAGACGACAGGCCATCCCAGGAGTCAACGATGGGTGATGGAATTTACATCCACGCCCAGGACTTCTGTGGTACAAGTTAAACGAATCATGATTATCCATCAGTATGCTTGCTGAGTGCTAAAAGAAGAGTATCCATATCCAAAAAACTACATTTTCATATGCCTGCGCTTTTAACCAAAAAACTACCAACAAAACATGGTCCTGGGGGTGACATACTGCCTTGCTTCTGGCCGACCGTGTCCGGGACACCCCCCGTCACATCAGCCGCCTGCCACCAGGCCCAGACAGCGTCCGTGCCGCGGTGTACGGAGGCCTCGCCCGGATCGCCAGGTCCTGGGCGGCGACGCGGACGCACCGCCGCCAACGCCGCCATCAAACCGACGTGACAAAGAAGGTCACCGGCAGGCCCGCCGCCACCCACGGGCAGAGGGCGTCTCCCCGCGCCTGGCCCGCCCGACGTACCAGCTGCACCGACTCGTCGTACATCTTGGTGAACTCGGGCGTCAGCATCACTTCGTCGATGCGGAAGGAGGTGCCGTGGAAGCTGAGCTGGCGCGCCATGTACGAGCCGCGCAGCTTCATGTCCATGGCTACGATCTCCATGGCGCCCACGCCCCTGCCGGCCCGGCGGCGTCACGGTCAGGGGCACATTCGGAGTCGTGATCACATTCAGGGCCAGGGTGACATTGAGGGTCAGTGTCACATTCAGTGCCAGTGTCACATTCAGCGCCAGTGTCACATTCATTGTCAGTGTCACATTCAGTGTCAGTGTCACATTGTGTCAGTGTCACATTCAGTGTCAGTGTCACATTCAGCGTCAGTGTCACATCCACGGTCAGTGCCACATTCAGGGTCAGCGTCGCACTCAGGGTCAGTGTCACATTCGAGATCAGAGACGTCACCACCAAAGCCAGCGAGCGCCGCGCCGGGTCGAGGCGCGAAGCCCCGGAACTTCGCTACCCGCCTTGCAGGTCGATCGGGTCGTCTTGCAACACGTCACCTCGCGGCACGCCGTGATCTAGCCCAGCTCCACGCTCGTGACGTACCGCTTCTCCACGGCCGATATGAAGTCGCTGAAGGCGGCGAACGGCGTGCCTTCGCCCCAGATGCCGAGCCGCACCATGTACGCCATGTTCTTGGGCTCGGAGGCGCCCGTGGCCGAGGCGTAAACCACGCGCGCCTTCGGCAGCTGCTTCTGCAGCTCCAGCACCGTCAGGCCCGTCTTCGTCGGCTTGGACGAGCCGACCGGACACAGGTTCTTGGCGCGGTGGCACTCGTCGAACACGATCTGGTGCGGGCTCGGTCAAGGAAACGACGGTACGTGCGCTGCCGCCGACACCACGACGGCTGGGACGGCGGGTCGCGCCCGCGAATCCCGCCCACAAAGCCAGCAATCCTAGTGTGTGGGGTGCCGACAGTGTAGTGTAGTAGTAGTAGCAATTGGAGCTTTAAAGCGCTTCGGCTTTCGGCTTTTTCGGCCACATAACGCCCAACTGATGGCGTAGTGGTTAACGCGTCTACGTTAACCACCGTGCGTCTGTAATATCTGAGATACTGAGTTGGATTCCCCGCGGTGCCCGCCCTTCTTGCCAGAGTGAGAGGCAGGCGACGCCGTATAGCCTCAGCAGGCGAGTGCGTCGTAAAACCCCAAAGACCAATCCTGGCGTGTGCAGAATCGCGCTACCGAACCCGGTGCGAGGCGCAAGGGCAATGCTGGACATCAAAGTGAGCTCTGACGACAGGTTACCCTCACCCACAACTTCCTCTACAAACAACCCAATTAAGTTAGCTAGGCAAAGGGCAGTTCAAAAAATCAAAAAATCAAAACACCAAAACACCTCCACTCAAGGCACCACCAATGGTCACACACCAGACATGGTTCTCATGAAACAGCATGTCAAAACGCCGACCAGAAGCGAGAACGCTCCCACTTGCCAGCCGTAGTACACGGTGCTGTAATGCAGCGCCGTCAGCAAAAGGCACGGCTGTCCTCTGTCCCACGCGCACCCCGTGCCGGCAAGGATACGAGGCCGTCAAAGTCCTCCCCGCACCAGTTGAGCAGCTGCTTCAAGCGCGTCTTGTACTTGCCGCCGACTGTCGACGACTCGCCGATGAGGGAGGAGTAGGTGGAGTAGATGACGCCCTTCTTGATGTCGCCGTTCACCGGCGAGTTGATCTTTGCGTACTTCAGCTGAAACGGGTCTGCATTCAGTGGGGAAAATCTTGAAAGGGGGGGGGGGGGGGGATTCAGTGGGAGATAGGTCCGGAACCAGTGGGGATAAATCCGCTTCAGAGAGTTAAGAGGCCCACGAAGGACGCAGCTCGGGTACGTGAATAAGCGGCCAAGCAATTGCTGTTAGGCAGCCATCGTCGACCTAAAAAAACGGACACACACCCATTCACGTAACCAAATAGTCCAAACATCTAGGTAATGTACGAACCGCCGCAGGTTGCTTGTGAATTCACATCCTTGTAATTCCCTTATAACAGATTGGTGTGGTTGGTGTGTGGTTCCCGTTTCAACTTCGCACCTGGTTCTGAGCATCAGACTCAACAGCCAGCTCGTACGCCTCTGCCCCTCCCCCCCCCCCCCCCCCCAATGACCACCCCGCTCGAGCGAGACGGCCACGAGCGTGCTCGTGATTACGGCGACGGCCCCGCAGCCGACGCACCTTATTCAGCGAGTGCACGGAGATCCTGCCGGCGCCGATGTCCCCCAGATCACGCTCCGAGTCGTACTTGAGGTCGTTGGAGACCGACACCCATATGGCCTTCTTGCGGCCCTTCAGGTAGTTCTCGTAGATGAGGCCGGCGATGGTACGGCCCTTGCCCACGCCGGCGCCGTCACCTACGGCAAAGGGGAGGAGGGGGGTCAGTCGACCGCACGCGTCGCAGGGCCGCAGACAGGAGTCTGGCGCGCCGGTGTTCTCAGGACTGGCGGCGACGGCACAGCGATCGGCAAGACACCGTTACCACACACCCCACCGTGAAGTGCCGCGTGGCTTACGACGACCGTGCCAGATCTGCCAGACCTCGCGCTGGGTGAGCTTCTATCCCCTCGACTACTTGTCAGCGTTGTCCGATGAACCAGCACTCCAAAAACGGCAGCGGTAAGTCCGCGCACCACACCGTCGCCAGCTAAAAGCCACACAAAAGCGACTCATCATGTGCTAGCCCCACGGGCGGGCCAGGCAACCAACCCAGTGACACAGAACGAGGGCATCGACCACCGCGCAGTCCCAACCGCACTCAGCAGAGGCTGAGGATGCCCGGACGACACCGAACGACATCGGAACCAGCGGCGGCGCTCACCGATCAGGAAGCCGGCGCGGCAGCCATCCTTGAGGAACTGCGAGTGCTGCTGGCACGTGTAGGTGATGGCCTCCAGCTGCAGGGCGGACAGCTTGCCCTGGCTGATGACCTCCTCGGGGAAGGAGAGATCGTACCACACGTCCGTGGGCGCCACGCTGGCTAGCGACGCGGTCTCCACCACCGGGTCCGGGTGCTTGCGGCCCAGTTTCACTGGCGGAGGGCGGGACGCGATCAGGGGCGGGGCGCGGTCACGGGCGGGGTGCGGTTAGAGGCGGGGTGCGGTCAGGGGCGGGGTGCAGTCAGGGGCGGGGTGCGATCGGGGACGGAACGTGGTCAGGGAGGGAGCGCGGTCAGGGACGGGGCACATTAAGGGCGGAGCGCGATCAGAGGCGGGGCGAACGGTGCGCGACGGAGGGCCCGACGGGGCCAGACGCCGTGCACGGAGAGAGGGGGGGCCGAGGGAGCGGGGCCGCGAAGGATAGACCGGCTTCAACAACGTGAGTGTGTTTACTGCTGAGTTCATCGTTCAACAGGTAAATGTGAACACCACCACCCGTCGAAGGACAGGTGGTGGTGTTTGAATTCAAGCGCAAACGATGACGGATGAACCGTACGTGTCGGATATATTCGCAACTTAAGGCAGAAACAGTTAAAAGCGGCCGTGCGCGTCAGATGCATGCGCTTATATGTGTCTGCTGAGCTGTTTCAAGTAGTCGACACTTCACTTCAATACCGCAGAGCAGCTTTGATGGCATAAAAATAGCCAAGCAAGTGGCAAGGAGTGCTCGCGTTTCGACACAGGACAGCTGTGAACTATACTTGACTAAAGGTGGCTTACATTTGCTGGGCATGTAGTCGGCGTATGTCTCCGCCACACCCATGTCCTCGTCATCTTCCTCACCGGCCTCGTCCTCCTGTGGCATCCCCATCTGAGGACAACCAGTGAGACTGGCACCTACTGTCGCATAGGGCTCGCAGCGGGAGATGGACTTTACCGACATCATGATCATATCCTTGAGACATCTCCCAGGGTTTAAGAAAGCAAAAGCCGAAATAGCATGCATGCGCACCCACAACGACGACACGTACCAGATACAGTGAGGGGTCCTGTGTACTGCAGAAAAAACGATGAGTGGGAATGTTCCACCGAGAAACCACGCGGGACACCACGGAGAGAGATCTGACCAGGAAGCAGACTTTCGGGTGCGTTTCTTGACACTTGAAAACGCGAAAGTGAGACATCGGCGTATCACGAATGCAAGACTGACTGACTAACCCAGCATCAACGTATCAATCGACAGGTTCAGGTAGGCAAGGGCGCGCCAGCTGGCACAGCGACGAAGCGGGGCCTCACACCAGTCACAACGGCACAGCTGCGGGCAGCGTTAGGAACCGAGCAAACAGTTAGACATCCATCTGAACATCAAGCTGGAGGACGCCATGCCAGCATCAGACAGCCAAGCACTACAGCTATTCCACCGGCCTCCGTCGGCGCGAGCTCAAGCCACGGCCTGTTCCCGGACGGTCTCTGTCCACCGGAGCCCGCGGGCGGCAGTCGGACCCTCCGGGTGCGCACAGCTCGGGGCGGCTGCGGGGAAGTCACGGGGCGCAGCCGACGGCTGGCCCCTGCGGGCGCCGCCGCAGCTGACTGCGGCTGGTGCGCCGCGCTCTAGCCTGACCAGCCACGGTAGAGCGCCAACACCCCCTAACGCCACTGTCTGCCGGCACTTGACAGGGCAAGTAAGGAAATTGTCCTTTGTTGGATTCCTGGCCATAGTGGTATTGAGGGAAACGAACTGGCTGACGCTGCAGCGAAGCGAGCGGCGCTGGCACCGTGTACACGTGCGTTTCCACCTCCTGCACGGGGCTTTTACTCGGCCATTAGAACATATATTCACAAGTGGCGACGTAGTTTGGATACGATGCCAAACAACAAGCTCTATGCCATAAAACTTAAGCTGGAGCACTGGCACTTCTGCTTTCGCCGGTCTAGACGAGAAGAAATAACACTTGGTGTGCTGCGCATTGGCCACAACCATGCGACTCACGGGTACACCCTGTGTGGCAAAGAGAGACCCAAGTGTTCCAGTTGAGGCGCTCCCCTAACCGCACACCATGTGATGAGCTCGTGTCCGCATTGCGACGACGAGCGTGCGCGCTGCTTTTGGAAGGTGTGCTTCAACGTTGCGATGTCGCGACGTTACGGGCAAACACTGTGCTTTCCTGAGAGCTGCTGGTTTTTCAGCCATAGACAAACACGGTTCGATAGGATACACGTCGCTACGGGTGCCAAGTGGCCGTAGATGTCAGCGCGCCCCGAAAGCGGCGTTTCACCGGGCCCCAAAACCTCGATTATCATTACCTGACGGCATCTATTTGGCCGTCGAAATCCTAGTACATTTTTGGCGTGGATGCCGCTCGGGGCGGCCGTGCGCTGACCCGGCCGAGACGTGGTAATGTCAGGTTAGCTTAGGTGCAAACGTTAGTGGGGCGCTATTCCGATCGTCCGGATTGTCGAGTGACGCGGGTATTTGTAAGTACCGCTGTGGTTGCTGACACTGTTACACCGCGGTAGAAACTGGGACCGGTTGGCGCCCGCTGTGCTGAGATCGAAACGACACATCAAGCTGGCAAAGACGTCAAGAGCCAAACTAAAGCCGAAGCTGTGGCATCCGTGGCCGGTTAGGGGGGGGGGGGGCACCTCCACTCCCGTCCGTGATCGCTCAGTGACAGCCGGTGGCGGGGCGCCCTCCCCAGCCGCTCGTTGGCAACACACATTTGCGAGCGTGCAGCGACGTTAGTACCAACCTTAAGCAACATCAGCTCACAAACCATCTGCATAACCCGTCAAGCCTCGTACGTTTAGTCAACGACAGGCTAATGCCAAGCAGGCGAACAACAACCAAGCGGCGACATCGTGATGCACGAGAGGCAAACACGGCGACGGGTGAGGGCGCGACGTGCAGGGTCGATCTGGCCAACAGGGCGGGGTGAGCCGACGGGCGGCGGCGCCGCAGCGGCGCTCCGCCCGGGCGCGGCACACACCCCGACGCTTACCATCGGCGGACTGGCCCCCGGTGGGAACATTCCCGGGAAGCCGGCGGCCATTGGAGGAGGCATCTATAACGGCCAGACACCATAACCGTCAGCCGGGGCCGTCGGCCAAGCGGCGACACAGCTCGCGCGCCACCGGCGCACACGCCACAGCCCGCATCAGTCGGCGCCGATCCAGCACACCTACAACGCTCGCTACGCCGCAGGGCGCTAAGGCGCGGCCAGAGCACTCCCCACCGACTGGAAGCTAAGGTCGTCTGAGTTATGGCCCCGACGGCCCGCTGACTATCAGCGGCGCGGAACCGCACGCGGTCCCGGCCAGGCGCCTCAGCGTCGCCGCACGCACCTTGTAGTCGTTCATCCACATGTTGGGCGGCATCTTCTGGCTCATGCCCATCTGCTGGAGCAGCAACTGCTGGATCTGGCCCAGGCTCATGGGCGGCAGGCCCATCTGGGCCATCTGCGCGGCCATCGTTTGCACCAGCATCGGGTTCATCATGGCGGCGGCGCTCATCGCCTGAGGGCGGATACGGGAGACGGCATCACAGCGACGCGGGGCCAAGAGCGCCCGTGGGGAGGCGGGCGGACACGGGAGGCGGCGAACGGAAGTATCGCAAACTGAGCCTCAGCAAGTGATCGTACAGTACGGCTTATATGCCAACAACACAGTACAGCTCGTGTAGCCAACAAATTGGCCCAGTTCCAAACGTGTGCGGAGGGGGTATTCGGAGTCGTTTAAAAGTTAGCCAGCTTGACTGATCGAACGCGCCTGAATGCTTTACTCTCAAGCAGTGCACGGATCAAAGAAACAATGCATCCATGCATATTTTTGCTAAATCACCCTGAAATATGGGTGCAAGGGTCAAGGTCGAGTTTACAACAGTACTTTAACCAAATAAACAATAATTACCACCTAGCTCGTCGTATAACGGTTGTTTCTGCATTACTGAAGCGCTAAGTTGATAACGGAGACCGTGAAGGCTCATGCTTGAAAAGGAGTGTCTCAAATTTGTATGGGGCTTTGAACTAAAATAGCCATCTCATTCAAGAGAGAGAGAGAGAGAGATGGAGATTTATTCGGTACAGTTCACAGCCCTGACCTTCTTAAGAACTAAAACCCGCTAGTTTCTGAGCTACGCGTCAGCAAAGACGTGCAGACTGTCTCCGAGGCTATTTCAAGGTCACCCAAGCATCTATGCCGCCCAAAACGTCATTCAATTCTTGCCATTCCGTTAGCCATGCGGCAGTCATGGCCAATAGAAGTAACGTTGTCGAGTCGTTTATACCTGGCGTTCGTGAGTACGTTTCCCAAATGTGACGGCTGTCAATTGGCTTTTAACCACTGCTGTGCGAAGTACCATGTCGTAACCGAAAAAAATGACACATTGGGGAGCATCTTTACTAAACAGGAATTGTGTTGTATGCAGCAGTCTTTTCCACTTGAAAACATACCAATGGTTCTAAGTGAGCTTATTTCATCACATCTGATACTTGCTTCCATATCCTGACATGTGGAACATTCCCTTTAAACAAAACACAAAACCAGTGTGGGCGGTAGTGTAGCTAGCAATGGGCGGTAGATAAATATGTTAGTTCAAATGGGCTGTAACATGTCAATCACATCCACAGTTTAACTCACCAACAGTTGATCATCATATAGCTGCTTGAGGACAAATGCAGACATGCACAAGTTATATCATCAGCTACCTTTCACATAAAATTCAATGCCAATATTTTTCAAAGGTAAGGTCACCTACGAACATCAGCTTTTCTGCCATCACCCATTCACACCCTGGCTTCTCTGATGACTTGTCTCATTTCTAATATTACCGTAGATTCACAAAGGAAAGGAAACATTTCAGAAGTGCAATAAAGCACTGCACCAAGGGTCTTGCTCACTCCAACGCCACTATTAGAAAAGTGATGCCTCAGCTCACGAAAAAAGCAACACGCTACTGACAAAGCGGAGTGTCAGGGAAAAGCCCAACGAGAGCACGTCGGCGGCGCTAACTGCTAAGGTAAGTACGCCTATAAAACCGGACCACGCCGCAGCACCGCAACACACCACCACCACCACCAGCATCTCCTTCCATTCACATCTGCAGGCGGCGGGCGAGCCGTCCTCGCCCGGGCGGCGTCAGCAGGCGCGCCGGCGCCGGCCGCCGTCCCCACTCACCGAGTTCGGTTTGACGGCCACCTTCATACGCGGCCCAGAGGCGCCCGGCGGGGCCGGAGGCATGATCATGCCGCCGGGCGCCAGCCGGGACAGACTGCCCGACATCAGCGCTGGGGAACACGGAGGTCACACGGTCAGACTCAGAGACTGCCCGACATCAGCGCTGAGGAACGCGGAGAGGTCACACGGTCAGACTCACAGACTGCCCGACATCAGCGCTGGGGGACACGGAGAGGTCACGCGGTCAGACTCACAGACCGCCCGACATCCGCGCTGGGGAACGCGGAGAGGTCACGCGGTAAGACTCACAAACTGCCCGACATCAGCGCTGGAGAACACGGAGAGGTCACGCGGTCAGACTTGGCAGACTGCCCATGTCTCCCTGCAGAACACAGAGATCGCCTGAGCAGACTTAACAAACTATTTTGAAACAAACCACAGAAACCACAGCTGCAGAACACAGTCACAAGGTCAGACTGGGCAAGCTTCCCCACATCAGGGTTACAGAGCAGACATGATGAGGTCAGCCTCACAGACTACCTGACGTCACGGCAATTGAATGCAGACTTTACACAGCTAGAAACCCCAGGCTGCCTGGCACCAGAGCACCACAATAAAAGGGTGTCCTATTTCAAACAAAGTACTGAAATTGACAGAATTGCATCTGAGGGAGGCTGGTTTTACCAATTTTATCAGCTGCAATTCCGGGAAACTGTATTGTTGCGAAAGGTACTGCATGACTGTCAGTGCTATGACAATGCTCTGTGGGCCAGGATTTTATTTAGCAATTACAAAGAAAATGGTGGGGATGAGGCTGAAGTCACCCAGCCTGAGTGGCTGGATAGACATGCATCCCCTGCCAATTGCATTGCCACAGCAGCAGTGCATACTGCTCCAACTGCTGCACTGGTCATCCCTGTCACTCCCACCACTGCACCAGCAATCCTTCCCACTCCCACTAATGCCCCAGCAATCCGTCACTCCCAGCACTGCACCAGCAATTCCTCTCACTCCCACCACTGCACCAGCAATCCCTCCCACCCCCACTAACGCCCCAGCAATCCGTCACTCCCACCACTGCACCAGCAATCCCTCCCACTCCCACCACTGTGCCAGTAATCCCTGTCACTCCCACCACTGCACCAGCAATTTCTGACACCTACACAGCTGCACCCGCCAATGCCGCCCAGCGCATCGCCGCAGCAGCGCTGCGCCGCGCCCACTCACACTGCTGCAGCATGCCGGCCGGGTTGACGTGCGGCGGCTGCGGCTCCTCCGTCTTGATCACCTGGAAGCCGGCGTCGCTGCTCTGAGCGTCTGCCTTGGTCAGCAGGCCGCCCCGGATCAGACGGTCGATCTTCGACTGGCGCTGTGAGGAGCCCGGCTCGGGCTTGACGGTCAGGCTGGAGCTGGAGCTGGAGCTGGAGCCCGAGCCGGAGCCGCCCGCCACGCCGGACGAGTCCATGGCGGACGAGAGCAGGTCGGAGGGGAGGCCGGGTCGGCCGTTGGTGGCCGGGCCGGAGGAGTCGCTCACGTCTGTGATGTTTTTGCCACCACCTGGGGGTGAAAGCCACAGCCAGTGGTGAGAGGTGTCAGATGAGATAAGCTTCCCAGTCAAAGAAAGGGGCCTAAGCCAAGTACTGCTGACAGCCCAAATCCAAAAGGATGGACATGTCTGATGAGGCATCTGCAATGGCAATGATTACTGCATTGCTAGCCATGGTATAACAGTAAACGTAAGCACCACTCTGGTAAACATCCCAACCCATCCCCACAAACAACAGCATGAGTCATGCAGGTGATGCAGACTTTTCATTATGATCACTCACATGCACATATTGCAAAATACCCACCTGGCACTTCTGTTTCATCTGGATCCCAGTCAGAGTCCTCAGATGATACAGAGCCATCTGACTCCTCTTTGTACTTGGGCATCCCCTTTGCCTGCAAAGATAAAGCCAATACCATGTCACCCAGCACCTGTCACAAAGCTCAAGCCCTGGTTGGAGTGTACCAGCAGTGTCTTATAGATGACTGGGGCTTTGAGGCATGCAGGCTGTCCAAATCATCCATTACATATTGCCAACCAGTGATATGATGCAATATATACAACAAAAAATCACATCAATAGTCTGGACCATATATACTATATGTATGGCATTACGAGTGTGGCTAGCATGCATCAATGGAGTTTTACAGCACACAGAGATGCTGAGGCTTCATCATGTTGTCTCCCTCTAAACCCAGGCAAAAAGAACAGGCACAGCAGGCAATCAAGCCACATACCTCTGGTGTCCCAGATGCATAGCTGCCCGACCACTACACTTCTGATGCTCGACTAGTGCAGCTGAGCCAGCAATACTAGTAGTGCTGTTTCACAAAGCATGATCCACCAAGCATGTTCTGCCAAATTATGACTAGCTGTATTAGGTTCTGTGACGTAATTACTCCCAAGATCTAATCATCAGATCACAGAGGTTAGAAGGACAATATCATCCATTTTTCTCCCCAGGATGCACAAAATGGCCCCACTGCATGACAATGTCAGTGTTTATCACAAACATCTGAATCCTGAAAATAATTTTTCACTTTTTGGGTCTGCACTGATGGTACAGAATATCACATATTTGCTTATATACACCATATCATTGTTTATATATTTATTGTTTTCTCTTAAAAAAACAATAACCCTAAATACATAACTCCATGGTGTGCAATTGAGCATGTGCCACATTAAACAACATTTCTGCCATGATTGTCAACAAATACAAAAGAGCACTCATAATATTTGCATTGGAACACTGGAAAGCCAGCATGAGAAGCTGGTTTCTACCCAGTATCTTCCCTCAATGTTTCCACATTTACCAGGTTTGCCCCCTAAAACACCATAGGATTTAATGGCCTGCATGCAAGCATGCCAAAAATTGCTGCACAACTCTAAAACTCACCAAATGTTGTTGGCAACTGCAAAGTAATGTAATTGGGGGTTCCAGATGCCTAGCCTAACCTGGCAAAGCAGTGCCTGGTGACACAATATGCTAAGCTCATCAAAAACAAAGCTGGCTGGAATTGTCTTGTGGAGTTTAGCCTGGGGTCTCATAATGACATCAATGATCTAACCAAACAATCAAAACTTATGTTGGTATCAACATCAGTCAAACTGATTGCATGATACACTTGAGAAATTAGTTGAGATTAGCTAGCATTGTGTAGTGGTATTCCACAAAACCTGGGAATTTAATTTTCTCCCATGCATTTGAATATAAGCAATTGAATGACAATTGAATATAAACATTAAAAAATTTGAAATTCATATGTACACAATGTCATGTTCAAATAATATAGCTTATTCACTCAGATGCAATAATTGAATGATACAAGGTTACAGGCCTGCATATCACCATCTGCATTAACTATGAGAATGGTGCTGAACTTAACAAAGTAGTAAATGTGTGCACAATCTCTCCCTCATGTCTACTCTGCTATCAATAAGATCTCTTATTTGGAATAATCCAGAATACAGGTACTGCAAGTTATAGTGAAGCTTTTCACATGCTTCAGCCAAAATAAATGTCATACACAAATTCATGGAGCATAATGCTGTACAAAATAATAACCAGAATGCTTGCACTAGTAGCTAGCAAGGTTCCTGCTTCAACAAAGGATGACCAACAAACCAATCAAATTTAAGTTATTAAATGATGGCAAAAACTGATAATGCTTGAGCTTTCTTATACCATAATATCAATAATACAAGCTGAATTTCAAATACTACATAAAAGATGTACACATTTATTAAAACACCAGAATCACGGTCATCAGAAGCAAAACCAGAGCAAGTAGTTTGCTTTCCCAGACAACTGGAATATGCCTGCAATGTCTCATTACTTGGCACATCTAGGCCTCTAAACATGAGCAATGTGTGACAAATAATGTAACAACATGCAGCACCCAACATGCAGCATGCACCATGTAAAAATGTGACAACACATGCATCAATGTCCCATAGAACTGTTGAATAAGCAGCCAGATTTTCAAAAATCAAACAAAAAATAAAACAAAGTAAAGTCTCTAGAGTCTTGCAAAGTCTTAAGGAAAACACATCACTAAGCCTAGGTAAAATTAGGAAGTTATGATAAAGACATGGCAGGTCTGAGAGTTTCAAAGAAGCCTGCCATTTGTCCAGTGTGAGGTACTTCAGGTACCTGACCTGTTCTGTAACATTTTTTTTTATAAACCTGAAGGTCTTTCAAGGCAATGCATGATTAATCTGGCTATGTGGAATATATGCACAATTCATATCTTATATTTTACTCAAATGACATCATGAGCTATTGCTATGCATAGGCTAAAGCAGAAAACATGACCTGACCACACCAGTAATACACTTGAATGTAAACAAGAACTTTCATCCATGCAAGATTGCCAAAAATCATTAAATGGCATCTAAAATAACCACACTGACATGTGGCAGCCCAACTCCAGGCTAATCAATCTCAGTTAAGATTGCTCTTGGATAGTAAAAATACTGAGAAATACCTGAGGTGCAAAAAGAGCCTGCTGCTCTGGTGGTCAGGTGTCCAGCTCTCTACCCAAGTGAGCTGCAGTCTGAAGCTGAAGTCCAACCCATCATATGCCAGAACTTGTGACTTAATAAATCAAGCATCCTTAGCACCAAACAATGCATGCAACAGGGTGGCCTTGTCATATGCATATTGCTACTAAAAAATTGTCACATTCTCCACTCACACCCAACCCTGTTAAATCGACGCAAGGCTGTCTAGCACCGACGCGTGCTGGCAAATCCCCAATGCAACCCACACTGCGCCACAATCGTCTATCGTCCCCGATAAATCGACCAATGATGACATGCACCACGACGTCATGCTGAAATACCGGTTTCTCATAAACCTACGTCACCATAAATTTGATTTCAGCTGTCAAATCTAGTCACAGGTCATTTAAAGACGCCAATTACCGTCGGCATAGTCATCATGGTGCGCCACTCACCACGCTGCCCCGGTATCGAAATACTCAGATAGCACGGAAATCTCTGGAATGGCGTCCAGTCCATCGCGAACATTATCATTCATTCAACTGGCTCACGTCAACGAGCATTACTTACAGGGCGTTTCGATCTGGAAGAGGACATCGCCGCGAAGGACCGATGCGACACCCCACCGCTTTTTTCCTCCTCTCCGAACTGCGTTTCCCGCCATCTGGTGGCGCCATCTCCAAACATTGGCTGTACGGTACAGATACATTCAGGCGTTACTGGTGAGGAGAGCCCACCAGGGTAACTCGCGTAAACAGAAACATCGTCTCCTCCGTCAGTGGTAAAATTTCCACAGCCGTAGGTTGAAAAAATGTAACAGAACGTACATCGTTACTTGTACCGGCGCGTGCACAACCACATGCGCGATCGATATAAATTGAATTAATGCGCTCGAGGTGACCGGAAAAAGCGCTGTGGCCAATTGAAAAACGAACCCGAAAGTAATTCCCTACATCATCACTCTGACTGGCATATTTTCCAGCTGACTCCGTGTGGAGGCGAACACCTTCGAGCGACCCATCACACAGAAGAAATGCAAACGAACGTTGATTGAAAACGTGTTCTCCGAAAACCGTATGCAAAACACACCAATGACAATGACGTGAAAACTGCCTAATGAACAAGCGATCAGGCGTGTTGCATCACAGCCTGCGCAACGTCACGAACGCGCACCAGATACCGCCACAGACGTACGCTCACAAAACGCCACTGCTCCGATCACTCATATTTGAATTCATTCTGTTTTGAATAGCCGAATCGAATTTCAGTAAATTCTGTCACTCAATCTCCGCTGTCCAGCGGGACCGCGAACACCGTGTTGACCACGAGGAAGGCCGGCTGGCCGCCGGGCACCGGCTGCAGGCCTATCTCCACTGCCGGCCCGCCAGCCAGAGCGTCAGTCACGGCCCGCAGGCGGCGCTGCAGTGCCGGCAGCGTGGCCGGCCGCACCGGCATGCCCAGCAGCTGCTCGGCAGGCTCGCCGGTGAGCAGCGCCTCGCCGGCAGGCGCGCCGCCGCCGCCCAGCTGCAGCGGCAGCACCAGCACCAGCGCCATCTGCTCGCCGCAGTAGGCGCAGAAGTGCGCCGGCTCCAGCGCCGGCGTGAAGCGCATCGGCGGTAGAGCGGCGCCCACGTACTGCGTGCGGCAGCGCGGACCGCGGCACGTGGCCGCCAGCCACTCCAGCGGCGACGCGTCGGGCGCAAGCGGCGCGCAGCGCACGGCACAGCGCGTGCGGAAGCGCTGGCCGGCCGGCTGCGCCGCTGCCTCGGCCAGCGGCACGAGGCGCAGCCGGCGGTCGGTGACGCGCAGCACGAGGGCGGCGTCGGCCGGTGCGGGATGCGCGGCGGCGCCCGGTGAGGGCGAGGCAGGTGCCGCGGTCACCACAGTACCAGCGGGCGACTGCGGCGCCGTGACGAAGCCGGGCTCCTGCGACTGAGACTCTTGCGACTGCTCCGTCTGGGTTTCGGGGAGGTCCAGACGCTCACGCTGTACCGGGTAGAAGGAGCACGGGCTTTCCTGTGGGAAAGCACACAATTTCGCCATTAGTTTTGGCGAAGGGTCGAGGCTATGTGGTGATTATTCACGACAGACTGATAATTAGTGAAAACATCACTCATGCCCTCGCAGTTCGCTCCATCTTTCACCGCCTGGATTTTCCGACAGGAACTAGTCGGATTCGCACGTCCTGCGCTCTATCTCACGGGCGATGATGCTAATGCCGACGAACGACGGGCGGCACCGAACGACAAACGACTGCTCACGGTCCGCGACCGCACCCGCCGCTCACCTGGGAGCTCCCCGTCGAGGTCTGGGTCTCCGGACACGCCGCCGCCGGCCGCTGGGCACCCTTCTCGGCGCCGCGCAACACCATGCCGTTCGCCAGCCTCTGCCGTCGCGGACTGGGCGACTGAGCCGACGGCGGCGAGCCGCGTCTCACGGGTGAGCCCCGCAGCCCGCGGCGTGCCACGGCCAGGGGGTGGCCCCCGGGCGACCGCCTCCCCGGTGGAGGCGTGCTGGCAGCGGCCGACGCGAGCGCCGCTGAGTCTGGGGCCGGACCGGCCACAGACGCCGCCGGCGCCGGCGCAACGGCGGCCGTCCGGCGTTGCGATGCCCTCAGCACCGGGCCGCGGACGGCTGCCGCCGACTCTGCTGGCTGGGCGACACCGCTCGCTTCGTTCACCATTGACCTCAGGATTCGACCCTGGACGACTGCTGACGCCTTTTCGGGATGGGCCGCTTTGGCTGCGGATGACTCGTGGCCGTTTGATGTTAGGGCTGGACCCTGCGGCGCCGATGCTGCCACCGTCTCCGGCAAGCCGGTCGCGTCCGCACGTGTTCCGTGGCCGTGCGACCCCAGAGTCGATCCCTGAGCGACGGCCGGCTGTTCCGGCTGCGCGGCGGCACCTGCGGACGTCCCGTCGGCCGCCGGGTGTTCGCCTCTATCCAACAGCACGGCCACGCGCCGCCGGATCTCGTCCGCGCCGGCGCTGCCCGCGTCCAGGAGCACCACGAGCGCCTCGTCCTCGGCCCGAAGGACCAGCTCCAGGCCGGACGTGTACGTCTCCTCGTCCTGTAGCGCGTCGGTCACGCGCAGACGCAGCAGCTGCACATAACACAGCCGGCCGTCCGCGCGGAGCTTCTCCAGCGTGGCCAGGCAGCGCCGGTCGGCGACGCGCACGTGCACGCCCTCGGCCCGCTCGCGCAGCACGATTGTCTCCTCCGTCTCGGGCAGGTCGGCGCCGTCGTCGTCCGGTGGGCGTGGCTCGACCATTGGCAAAGCACATCGCGTGCCGTCGCGCACCAGCAGATACGCGGGCCGGCCGGCGTCGGCGCTGCGTAGCTCCAGCGCCTCGCAGCGCACGTTGTAGAGCCCCGGCCCGCCGACCTGGCTGAAGGTTGCGTCGACGACGAGGCCTTGCCTCTCCTGCCAAGGGCGCAGCACCGCCCACCATTCGCGCAGCCAGATCAGCCGCGCGCGCTCGGCGTCCGTGACTTCTACCCCCGCGGCCGGGCCCAGCGGATCCAGCGGCTCGCTCACGCCGCCCGAGAACACCGTCAGCGCCGAGCCCTGGAACACGCGGCCGTCCAGCTTGCCGTTGTGGCTCTCGATCTTGAGGTGGCGCGCGCGCAGCACGTTGCCCACCTGCAGGCCGTAGTTGGCATCGAGCGCTGGCAGCTCGCTGAGGCTGCGCACGAACACGAACACCATCAGGTCGAAGCGCTCGGGGTCTGCGGCGCAGCAGGACGGGTCCTTGATGGCCGCCATGGCCATGAAGCCACGCACCGTCCGCCGTAGCGCCTGCGGCACCGACACAATCACGCCCATGACGTGGGGCCGCTGGCGCAGGAACGGATCGCCTCTGCCGACGTCCACAATAAGCGTGTACGGCTTGCCCGGGTCGCTGGCTGGCGCGCCCGACAGGAACCTGTCCAGCGCCGTGGGCCGCGCGTCCGACCCAGACGGTGCTGGCGGCACGGCGGGCGAAGCGCCGGTCGGACTCAGCGGCTGCTGGTTGGCGTCTGGCGCAGTGGCCGCGGCAGCCGGGCCGGCCGGCGCCAGGCCAGGCAGTGACGCGCTCGCAGTGGCCGCCGTCGCTGCGTCCGTCCGGTTGGGTTCCGCCGCGGCCGCCGCGGCGGCTGGGGCGGCGGGCGCCGGCTCCCGACGCTCCGCGCGGCGTGGCGGCTGCTCGGCCAGCAGCTCCGGCGAGGGGTCGCGCTCCACCGGCGCTCCGTCCGCCGCCTCCGAGACGGGGTCTCGCTGAGCTGCGTGCCGTCGCGACCGCCGCCGCAGCCGCCGTCCGCCGCCACCTGCACGCGGCGACCCCTCGGTCACTGCTGCCTCGTCCCGTGGCTCCTGCCTCGATGCCGCCTCGTCTCGCAGATCTTGCCTCGATGCCGCCTTGTCTAGCAGATCTTGCCTGGATGCCGCCTCGTCCCGCGGCTCTTGTCTCGATGCCGCCTCATCCCGCGGCTCGTGCCTCGATGCCGCCTCGTCCCGCGGTCCCTGCCTCGATGCCGCGTCGTCTCGCGGATCTCGCCTCGATATCGCCTCGTCCCGCGGCTCCTGCCTCGATGCCGCCTCGTCCCGCGGTCCCTGCCTCGATGTCGCCTCGTCTCGCAGATCTTGCCTCGATGCCGCCTTGTCTCGCAGATCTTGCCTGAATGCCGCCTCGTCCCGCGGCTCCTGCCTCGATGCCGCCTCGTCCCACGGCTCGTGCCTCGATGCCGCCTCGTCCCGCGGTCCCCGCCTCGATGCCGCCTCGTCTCGCAGATCTTGCCTCGATGCCGCCTTGTCTCGCAGATCTTGCCTGGATGCCGCCTGATCCCGCGGCTCCTGCCTCGATGCCGCCTCGTCCCGCGGCTCGTGCCTCGATGCCGCCTCGGCCTGCGGTCCCTGCCTCGATGCCGCCTCGTCTCGCAGATCTTGCCTCGATGCCGCCTCGTCTAGCAGATCTTGCCTGGATGCCGCCTCGTCCCGCGGCTCTTGTCTCGATGCCGCCTCATCCCGCGGCTCCCTCTTCGACGTGCCCTCCTCGCCTGGCGCCAGCCGGCCGCGTCGCGCCACTGCGCCATCCTCGGCAGCGGCCACCCTGCGCGCCTTCCTGCGTCGCATGCGCGGCGAGCTCGCAGGACTGTCCGCGCTGTCGGACGCCGCGCGCGCGCGCCGGCCGGCACCCGGACCGTTCTGCCGGCAGGCGGCGCAGTCGCTCCGCCCCGTAATGTGGAACACGACGACAACCGACGGGTCGGCGTCGCGCAATAGCAGCATACAGTCGCTGTACTGCGGACAGACGGTGTCCACCTTCCAGCGCCATACGACCGGTCGGTATACGCACACCGCGTCTCCACTGCGGATCTGGGCGTCGGCCCGCCGCGCCCGCGCTCCGACCAAGCAGCAGCGGTACGGCCGCTCGTCGACGCTGCCGTCCGTCCGCACCTCGCGCAGCAGCAGGGACTTGATGCCGTCTGGCTCGTAGTACGGGTACGCCTGTTTGACAATGCCCAGCAGCCAGGCGTCGTCGGTGGCGGACAGGCAGTTCTCAATCAGCGCATGGTGACCCACCAGGTAGCTGCACTGGCTGGCACAGCAGACCTCTCTGATTTGAAATGACTCACTGTCATCTGGAGCGTTCATTCTGGGCAGAGAAGATGCCTGTGGTCAAGAGTCCCCCATGTTGAGTTTGTTCAAGTAGGTCATGGTTATAACAGGCACATAATCAATATTGAAAATGATGAAAAGCAAATGATAATAAACTATCATTTTTATTGCACAGTGCCAATCACCTGCACATCAACATACCTAATGCATTGGCTTAACTCTATATTTGGTGCACAATCATGCAATTTATTCTCATGTTACCTTTTTGAAAAAAATGAAACAATAATGAATACTGCTTAATATCAAATGTGATATTATTTTGATGAACAAGTGCAGGATATCTGTTCTAGAATGTATATATAGTCAGAGGTGCAGGATGTAATCCTAACTTAATGCTACCACAGTTCTGGTCCCCAGGTAGCAGTTACACACATCATTTCATCAGTTGTTAATTTATTGCCTTTTGACCCAACATCCTGTCTAATCTGACCAGTTTCCATCAATTCATCGAGCCTGAGGTATCTAAATGCACAGGTGAGCACTGCTCAGCTGGCAGTTAGCCCTAAGCATGGGTGCAATAGCATGAAACAGTATAGATACCTCTGCCACAAAAGTGCCCACAAGCAAAATTAAATTGGTTTCCGCATTTTATATGGTACCCTATTACATTTTCATTTCAATTTGTGACTGATCTGTCTGTATTCAAAAGGCATGTTCTAAAATGCATTCTCATGTGACAATGGTGCACTCGACCCCACATTTCCAGGCGCCAAATTCAGGCCAGTTAAGATTGCTCTGAGGTTTCAAAAAAATTATCCACAAAAAAACGTTTCTGGGGTATTATTATCTAAAACCACCTTTACAACACAGTTCCAAAAACAAAGACTGAAAATGTGCTAAAATTTATGGCGAACATGTGCCAAACCGTTGGATAGCACTGTGCCAAACTCAGAGCGCTGGGATTTACTGAGCATATGTGCTAAAGCCCGAAGCTGTTGCCGCGATGTTGTTGATGCACCGGACATGTTCCACACTTTTCTTGAAGGTAGGGGTGCACTAACTCACGATACAGAACGAGCTGGTATCGGACGTTAGCGGATCACCGCCCGATATAATTTCTTGAACATCGGATAAAAGGACGATAATTTCGCGAAACTACACGGGTACCCACCCACTTGCTCTCCTTACCACCCTACACACCAGCCCGAACCCGCTGTGCCTATATCCCACGATTGCCGCGCGCGCGCCCTTTCGAACGCGTTCGTAACAGGAAAACTGCAGCAACTTATAATATCCGTCGAGTTTGGGATTTCTTCACGAATTGATTTACCCCGCACAAGCACAGAAGGAGCCCCAAGCTCTGGTTTCAATGTGAAATCCACAGATGCTCATTGTGGCACAAGAGCACTGAATGTAGTACGATTTTCGTACCACATGACCATCAAGGTCAATTCCAGTCAAACAAAAGACGAATAACAGACGAAGACATCACCCAAAGTTGCTGGCCGATTTAGGGTCTTTTAAGCGGAAAGCCTTCATTGAGACTTGACGATGCACTTGGCCGCTGAGGCTGAGTGCGTCGTCGCTTGCGAATTCCCTAGCAGAAGGGCATGGACATCGCGGGAAATCGAACCCTGTACCTCCAGTTTCACAGACGTGCAGCGCAGATGCGCTAACCACCTCACTATCCACCCTCCGAACGCACCAAAAATCTTCTTCAGCGCAAAAACCGGCGTGCGCCGACATATCCTGACTGCATGTCAGCCTTCAAAGGTCGAATTTTCAGACCTTGTAACGGGGAAGCTCTATTTTACTCTGAAGTTACCTCCCGATTTTGGATTTTCAAGAATCGGTATATTCCTCTAAGCACAAACTAAAGGTAGTCGGAAAACTGTGACTTTGAGATAAAATTTAAAAGGGAATACACCTCTCTGCTGTACTTTTCACTTCTTGCTAGTCTGCTAGGTCAGACGCCTCCTACTCGGTCGGAAATAGCAATTTTCTCGAAATTCTTCTAGGAGCTCAGAATCTATGCTTGAGGTATCCGCCCCGACGGGAGAAATTTCAGTGAGCTCTCTGCTCATCATTATGAAAGAAACAAGTGTCATTTCCAAATATCAGGAAAGTATCGGGAGCCTTCAGTTCACCCAAAAGTTACTGAAAAATTCCGCAATCCTGCTCACTACCCGGCGCGATCACATTTTAAGCAAACTGCCCCTTTACAAAACCTTCCTTAAAAATAACAAGGACTCCGTACTTCCCGACGGATGGTGATGAGCGGCAAGGCATCTGACCAACTTTCTGGTTTTCGTGAGTTACATGTTAGTAGCGTCAAAGTCTTATGACGTGCTCTGAAACTCTCTTGAATCGCCTGCTTTGACAATGAACAAATTGTCCATTATGCACCCGCCCAGCAAGGGACGCAGTTTGGAGCAACGCGTCGGAAACATCAGAAAAACGCCCTCTAAAATTTAAAAAATGGCGTCCCCAAAATTTGAGCTTGTGTTTTTTTTCAATGCTCGGGAAAGGGGACTCAAGTCAAGTTGGGATCAAGCTTGGATGCTCGAGCCCCCTACCACCAATACCAGCAGCACCGCCACCTGCAGGCTACAAGTAGGGGTGCAGCCAGCAGTTGTGACAGGGCGGGGGCTACCATGTTTTGCGACGGGGGGGGGGGGGGGGCTTTTTAGGAGCTAGTCCCTGCTCCATTGACAGAACGGACCGCCAACAGTCTGCTTCACAACCGCAAATGCGTAGTGCCTAGTGATCAACGAATTGTTGATATTGTTTTGACCTAATGCCTCCATAAATCGTTTTAGCTGGGTGTCATGCATGTTTACTCGACTATCCACTATTCTTAATACCTTCAGTCTGTTGGGCTCCACATGTAGCCGCCCATGGCAGCAACTATCCGACTTATAACCAGACTTGTTCTCCTGATCATTAGGGTCCGGAATTATATTCAAAGTCGCGTCGCGGTGAGAAATTGGGCTCAACCGTGACGGAAGAGCGGGAGGGGGGGGGGGGGTTAAGGCCGCCTGACCTCCCTCGCCGCCATTGGCGGTGCCGCTACCTACTGCGCGAAAATGCTAAATATTCCTATCGTAGTTCCATGATTCTGCGCCCCTTTTCAAGGCATCAAAGCAAAACGACATATCAGCATTTATTTCAGTCTGTTCAGCAAATGAAAACGATGTAAATAATGTTTCAAACGAATACGCCAGGCTTTGAGAACATCAGGAACTGGTGTATGGCCAGGATTTTCTGGCAGTGTACCCCTTGTACTTGTTCTTATACTTGATCGACGAAACCACCGTTGAGCTTTTCGGGAAAGCAGACACACCACCGAACTTGGTATCAGTTTCTGGAAAGAAGCACAATCGTTCAGAACGAACAACGACATTGCACAGCTTCAAGTCCTCGGATCCCGAGAAGCACGTGCAGGTCAAAACGAGCTTTGAACAAGACTAAAAGGCACCGGCAAGCTGTCACGCACGTGACCACGCCAACCTAGCAATAGTAAGTCATACGCGCGCTGCAGTGCGAGATAAGCGACGTACTCATACCCCCTGCCAGGCAGCGGGCAACAGCATGTTTCCCCCTCTCCATAAAAATGAGGGCAAGCTCCCTTTTTCCCAAACAAAAGGCATCGTAGCAAGAGTACCAAATCCTCACGGAATACTTCAAATGGGATCAAAGAGACCCTATAACTGAGCTAGCGCAGTAAATCGGGCTCAGAAAACCCTTTGCTTCATCAAAAACCCCGTTCTCTGGATTACGGGGTCACTTTAGGAATAAGGTAGCCGGTACTCGAGACCGGAAGGCCCAATGCTGTGTTAAAGAGACGCTTTAATAGCTCGGGAGGTCCCCATTAAAAGCTAAGAGGCCCTGTTCCGCATAAGGAGGCCCTTCTATATCCAGCCGGCCCCATGTCTGGAACAGGAGGGCCCCTTTCATGCGCCAGATGGTCGCGGTTCCGGATCCGGCTGTCCTATTTGGGATAGCGAGGCCATTTGGTTAGATTGGGGAGCTCCTTCATGAATCAGAAGCCTCCCGTTCTGGTTTAGGAGACACCTCTGCGCAGCGGGCGGGGGGGGGGGGGGGGTTCCTTGAACAGGAGGCCCTGTTTGACGATACCGAGACACTGCTGGATAATGAGAAGGTTCCAATTCTAGATTTTGTAACTGTCGACATTTATTTACTTGGACATGATAATACAACAGCTTGAAAGGCAGGCACACACCGCCCTCGTTCTTTTCTCCTTGAACATGACACTGTGCAGGAGGTTCCTTGTGAGGGGGTCGCATTTCGTCCGGGAGGCCCCCTGGAAAATCCATGCCCCTGACCGTGACTGTGCCTATGTATGGTCCTATCGCATTTGATTGCATGTAATATTACATTATGTATGACGTAGCTCTATTGAATCCATACGCTGTATCCGCATATGGTAATATGGAGCATCGATAACACCATACGCAAGAACGACGCAAAATACCTCAACAACGGTACGAAAATCAGGCATTTAACAGTTACGTTCCTATTTTGTTACCGCCTGGGGTTGGGGAAAACGGAAAGGAGCAAAGACCCGCTGGCACTCAACGGGCCGACTTGCTTGGGGTTTGTCCGTGGTTCCCTTCGCATCTCCCAGTGCACTGCACACAAGAGCAAACATCGATTTGGGCACCGATAATTTCAAAGCACCATGTAAATGCAATGCTCTAAGTGGCATTGGAAGGATGGGGGGGGGGGGGGAGGCAACCGGCATACCTGGGTGGAATCGCACGTAGTCCAGCTGAATATGCAGGTTCTTCGGCAGGTCCTGCTCCTTCATCTGCTCCAGAGGGGTTGATGTGCGCACCGGTGTGGCGTAGTACCGCATGACGTCTCCTGCAAATGTAACAGGTCATGAACAGTAACAGCAACGGGAACAGGTCAGTGGTCAGGGGTCCCAGCGTTTTCAGGCGGAGCTCAGGGGGAGCGACGAGATGATTGGGTTATGGACTGTTGTGATGTACTTGAAAGTCATTTCCACCATAATGACGCATCACTGAACTAAACAGAGTGTTGATGCCCGAAACTAGCCCAATGTACTACGGTGCAGTTTCAAATCCTACAAACATAAGACATAACTGATTGGTATACACGCACAAGTATATATATATATATATATATATATATATATATATATATATATATATGTATATATATAATCAGGCATATACATATATATATATATGTATATATATAATCAGGCATATACATATATATATATATATATATATATATATATATATATACTGACAACTCCTGCAGAGTCAGGTCAACACACACACAACACAAACACGATGAAAAGCAAGCTTCTTATATTAACTTCCGATACGTTTCACAACTAACAACTGCTGCAGTCAGGTCAACCAACACACACGACGCAAACACAATGAAAAAAACATCAAAGCACAAGAAATGACACACAAATCGCCCTGAGGTAGATGAACTTAAACTTATTACAATTTCCCATGGGAATTACGAAGAAATGCTAACAAGCGTTGGGCATGATTATCAATCGTAGATTGTTTAGTGTTGACGACGATTACTTGCGTTAGATATGCACTAAATAACATGACGGACTTTCTAAGATAAAGACTCTAAGATTCCGAAGTCCAGCGAGGAATGTGTTCTGCCCAATTAACTAAAATTACAAGTTTAAACTGGAACATCACACGTAAACGTCCCTTCGCGCGGCCCGAGCCCGCGGTCGGAACGCGACCCGTGACGTCACATCGCCCTTCACCCTCCGCCCCGTGGAGCCCCGTGGAGATTCAGCTACTTGGGCCGACCACGGCGGCTCGAAGGTGCGGGCACACGGGATGCGATACTCGCTCAGTGTTCGCCGTGTCACGAGGTGTTCCGCGTGTGCAGACGGGCGGTGCAAATATTGGGCTCGCTCCGATCGGCGCGTAGCTCAGGCATTTTCTGCATACAATTTGTGGCGGGCGGGAAGACTGGCGAGAGGTAAGTGGCCATGCAGGCAATCGCCACAGCCGGGGCATCAGGACACAGTTAATGGACGCAAAAGTGGTGCGCCGACCTGACGCGTTGCTCTCCGTGCTATTTTTGGTGGCACGTTGCAGCGAGCCAAGCATCACGCGAGAGTGGCAACGAAATAGGACTTCGTTGTCGTCGTCGTCATTGGGGCAATCATGCCAATTATTGCTCGCGATCAACACGATCAGCCGCTGAGGCTATATGGCGCCGCTAACCTGTCGCCTCGGTAGGAGTGGCGGGCACTGCGGGGAAACTACGGGCTCTTCGAATGTTCAGTTGTAGATATCCCTATTCGGGTATTGGGAACACTTGAACACCAACCAGAAAGTCACGCACTCGCGCACACGTATCGACCCAAAAGGAGAAGGGAGGGGGGGGGGGGGGAGTGTAGCGGCGCACGGTCCGAAAGTTTTTTTCTCCAACAAATGACTTAAAGTGAAATTTTCACAAAATTCCGGCAGCGCAGCAGCTATAATGTGATTGGACTGCCAACGCGTCATCGTGTGCTGCCCCACAAATTTCACAAGTCACTTAAGTAGCGTCATCTCCACGCGCACGCACCCTGCCTGCTAGCTCAATCATGACAGCTAAAACAAAAACAAAACAAAACCCAAACCAAAACGCAGAAGGCAGCAGTGTGTAATCCGAGACATAAGCATCGGATCATGACAACTGAGATCGTCTTTGTTGTGAGCACGCCCAGCCGGCCCGTCGGCACAGCATGCCATCCCTGTCGTGTCTCGGCGCGGCCTCGGCCGCGCGGTGGAATGTGACATACCGCCGCGGGCGCTGACCGCCGTCCGGTGGCGGACCGTGCGGGACGCATGATAGGTGCGCGTATGCAAGCTGACTTATGAGTGGTATTTCACCCGAACTAAATGTTATGTTGTGCCTGCCTGGGATAGCAGGGGCAGGCCGCCACTGGACTCGGTCCAATACAGATCGCCGCATCGCTACACGTCTCTCTCTCTCTGATCGAGCTGAGCCGAACCGCTGGACGTCCGGGTGGCACCTTTCCAGCGCGCCGGGGAGCGCGGGCCTGTCCGGGTGGCATCTACCCAGCGTGCAGGGAAGCCGCTCCCCGCCACCGACCCGTCCGGGTGGCACCTACCCAGCGTGCGGATCTGGTGCAGCTGGCTGTTGGTGACGTGATGGCCCAGCCTGTCGGCGCACGTGACCAGCAGGCGGTGCTTGGCGGCCAGGTCGCCGACGGGCGTGCCGCTGTGGTGGCCGCTGCCCAGAAGGTCGTCGAACACGGCCGACAGCTGGTCCTGCAGGTCGGCCGGCGGCTGGTACGGCCGCAGCGGCTGTCTGTGACTGCAGCACGACAGCCAGAGTCAGGCCACGGCAAAAACCGTGGGTGCGGCCAGAACTGGATACGAGATGATGTGGCAAAATAGAGCGCACTAAGAATGGTATGGTAAAACATCGATGAAAACGATCGTGTAGCTAAGGATTGAATGGCAAAAACACATCGCCAGCAAAATATGTTATGAGACAAGATTGTACGTGACTATGTGATTATATGTATGTATGTGAATGTGTGTGATTGTATATGTGTATGTATGCAAGAGGTCGCGATGGCAAAAACTTGCATGGGCACAAATAGTGCGAGATTACGTCCATATGGCCAGCTTCGCTTCCTTTGCATGACTTCATAGGAAGGCAATATGTGGCCCGCGCCGGACTGACATACGGCGACAGCTTCCCATCCCCCCCCCCCCCCCCCCAACATTACAAGGTCTCGAGTGTCTGGTCAGGGGTCGTTGCCCATGGGGATGCATCTGGAGCCCATCGATCGGGCGTGCTTGGTTGGGCACCAGCTTATGGTTCTATATGTGTCTTACTGCTATAAATCAATGGTACATATCCTTATGTGCTGATTACATGTTAACATTTAAAAATGTAAGGCAGATATGCACAAATCGGAAGATCAAGAGCATGTGATGTTTTACAGCACAGAATAAATTGTGTGGACCTACAATGCTCTGAACCAAGTTTTCATAAAAATTTTTCATCATGTTCCCCTGCTGATGTGAAATCCTGTGATGTCACTAGCCATGACCTAGAAGCAGTTTTTCCACCAGTTACCACCCTCAACAGCCAACAAGCACTGCAATTTCAGGAGCTATCTACATGCTTCCAACAAGGTTCATTATACACATGTAAACTTCTTCCTACATTTTTTTTGCAAGAAAATATTTAAACACAACAAGCCTTTTCATCGTAAACTAGATATTGCACCCACTTTTGCTGGCAATATCTATGTGTTTAACTTGAGCCTTTTGGATGGACGTATTTCTGGGACCAGAGCTCATGTTCGGCAGAGTTTGTAGTGTGGGCCCTGACCCCTATCGTCCAATCAAGCGATGCCTGGTTAACAGTAGAACTTGGTGGTAAAATTTTAACATGTCTGAATGTTTAGCATGGTCCATCCTACCCACTGACATCACCTGACCTTTAGTTCCCCCAGTGACTGTCACCACCAGTTGCAGACTGCAATAAGCTACCCATTGAGGGCAAATAACACTTGCCTAGCAACTGAAGACAGGCGCCATAACCAACTGAGCCATCAGGTAGAACAAATAATCAGGTCATCAAGCAAGGCAAAAGGATAAAGATCATGTCATGTTGAACTACATGAAAGCATTTCTATGTACTTGATGCAAAATTAGCATCTTCATACACAATATGTTTTCTCAATATCACTATCTTAGAGTTGCAAACATCACATCTAATTAATACCACAAGCACCCATTTTATGCAATTTAAGTGCTGGCATTGCTAATCAACACCATGTGCAGCAGTTATCGCAAGGAGAGAAACAGTGTTGGCAGTGGCCATGGCCATAATTTTAATGCACCTTAGTGCTATTATTGAGACCATAAAGAGTATGTAGAACACTCATGCCCTTATAAAGTTAACAATACTCAACATGACAAAATCAGCACCTGGTTTTGTGATAAAAGTGATGCTTACCTATTGGTGTTTACCCACTCCAATTCCTCAGGCCATTCAATATTTTCAGGAAACCTCTGATTTTTTTTTTGTGCTTGTGCTGTTATGCCAGGTATCTGCACTGCAGGGAGCTCATTTTTCAAGAAAGCCTGTAAATATAGACCAAAAATATTAATTTGCTATAAGCAGGCTGCACCTCAAATAATGCCTGATATATGATAATTGTAATAGCAATCCAACACAATTGACCAAAGCCCACACATGCAAGCAAGTCTTGGTAGCATATACATCTCAAGGCTTCAGAAGAAAAAACAGACCTAAATGCGATGATTGTTTCTTCCTGCAGTCACATTTGCAACATAATAATACCTCAAAACATTGCCTATATTTGCAATAAAATTGGTGTGCACCATGCACCAATTTTATTGCAGATGATCAAAACACAACTTTGATGAGCAACGCAATATAAAGGCGAAGGAAAAAACCTGACCTTTTGGATGTATGACACCACGTTTCCCGCAGATCTGATGCTTTTGGTGTTCCACCTCCATAACATAGCCATGTTTCTTCCGGCGATTGCACCCAGTTTCTTGAGAAGCTTCGATGAAACTCTCAACCCTTACTATCGCTTATTATCTAAATAATTATTTTTAATTGGTAAGCAATGAAACACTCTACGTTCTCCGGCCACCGAGTAATGACTGTACGCAACCGTATTCAGACGAGTCCTTGTGAACACGTTCCTCATAGCCCTCCCGCACAAAACATTGGCTGCCGACATTTATTGCGCTAGTGTTACAAAAGGCATAAATGTTCCATAGATAAAGTACAATCATAGCTAGCAGGGTCGCGTGAAGATAAACAAAACTGTGAACAAGATCAAACGTTAACTTATTGAAAAAGATTATCTAAAGATGATGATTTTTGACTCCGACAATAACAGCTTTGGTTGGTGTTCAGGCTGACAATGGTATTTGAAGACCAGCTAAGTTTGGAGTTCCGTTGATTGCCAGATATAAAAAGGGCTAGTCGTTCACCTGTTGTCCGCATCGCTGCTCATAAATGTGAATTATTGAGGATATAATTTCGATTCATACAAATATTTTCCAGCCTTTCTCATGTCCAGGTATATTCTTTGGTCTTCAATTGAGTACTGAGTTGCTGGACATTGGTTTTGTCAGCTTTTTGGTGTTATTTCACAGATAGCTTATTCAATGAGCCTGTGTCTTGATTTTGTCCAGCAGTTGGTGCTCCGTGGGCCATATGCGTTGTCCTTACTAAGCTACTGGTTGTGAATATGTGAACTGGGTGAACTAAACTGGTAGTGGTAAACTGATCATGAAATACAGGAGGCAGTAAAAGTACACTAATTATAAATATAGCATGTTATAATGGGTCTCCTTATGTTTCCTGGTACTAAGTAATTGTCTCTATAAATCTGTCCTGGAAGTAATTTCAAAGAGCAGTTCTGGTGTGCACTTAAGTGGTGCAAATTATGGAAATGGCAGCTGCATAGCTGTAAACCTAGTCCTGTCTGGCTAGAGTATTACTTGCAAGCCTTTTGCATGCATAATATTGAACTGTGTAATATTAGTATTTTAACATCCCCTGCATGTCACTGGATTGGCTAGGACTGAATTCTTATCATGATCTACAATTATGGGTTTTTTTGTCTTACCACTCTTCCTGCCAAGAGGCGAACTGAAGTTTCAGGAACTGTCTGAATATGTTTACCTCATGGGGAAATCCTCAAAGTATGTGTTATACCATGACAATATGAATGGGACTGTCAGTCATAATTGTGTAGTGGAGCAATCTTGAAATACATGATGTTTGGTGCATGAACATAGTTGGTATTTTCTGGTGATAAAGAAGCATCAGGCAATGTTCATGTTTGTGTTTATCTCAGATACCAGCCTTATATTTCCACCTGATCATTAAGGAGGAGAAAGCTGATGATAACTGTTAGATTCTTATACAACTGTAAAAGATAAATGTATATCACATGATAAACATTAATGTTTGGAGCTCATGAAGCTTTGGTACCTGTAATCCTCCTGTAATATGTGTCTGTAATCCTGTAATCCTGTAATCCTGAATTACTAAATGACTGCATTCCTTGCCAGTTTCTAAATGAACTTACCATTGCAGTGAGTTAATGTTTATGTGGACTTGATGCATCCTTGCCATGCAGTGCTAGTAGGAACTATGTCTCATGTACCCATGGTTGTGCTGATCAACAATGCATCATCTTATTGTTTCAAGGCAGTTATGAACTCATGCAAGGCTTTCAGGGTCACCTCCCACAAGATAAGGATGGTGCTCATCTTTTCCTTGCTACAGTATTGAGGAATACTGGGAAACAGCCTGGTCTTCATTCTATAGACCAGGTTGAAATATGTATTCTACAAATGCCAATATGATATGCAGCTGAGTGGGTTTTGCCATTTGCCATCAGGACTTTTCTCTAATGCAGCATATTCTTCATATAGCCATTGGCATTGTCCTTATAATTCTTGTGTGTGGTCTCTGTATGTTGACTGTGGAATTGCTGGTGTGGCTTATGCCTTTTCTGTTATTGCAGCTTCTATGTTGTAACAGTGTCTGACTTCTGAATGTTGCTGTTGTTTTTGTGTGACACAGCTGTCCTTTCCCTTGCACTGAAGCAAACCCAACCATGTGAGGTGACCTGGTACTGCACCTGATATGATGACATCATGTCAGTGTATCAGTACCATGTGAGTCAGTACCAGTGAGTACCAGTCAGTGCATGTGTATCAGTACCAGTGAGGGCATCACATCTCATCAGCCTTGCACTGGATCCTGCTCAGCAGGTTTTGATGAGACTTGAGTTGACCCACAGAGTTAACCTGGTCATGTGGAACTGCCCTCATCACCTCTGACTCACCATAGCTCAGACTGGCTGCTGGCTGGTGCCACTGGTGGTCAGCCAAGGGCTTGGCTCTGCTTCAAGGCACATCACCATCAGTCCACCCTGCATCTGCTGTGGTGGCCAAGTTGAGGATCTGATGGCAAGCCAGGGGATGGAGAGAGGATAAGGATGTCACGAAAAGCCTCACAGGTACTACTGACTGCTCCAAACGGGAATGGTAGAGGCGACTACATCAGGATGGTAGATATGCCTTCTGGTATGTCATTTTCCCGAGGATTTCAGCGCGATGTGAGCGCCGCCTGCTCCTTCCATGCACTAGCACGCGGTACTGCGGTATTCTATGGTACGTCCGAGCACGAGACGTGGCAACTCGAAACACGTGTCGCTCAGTACTGACGCTGCGCAGGGTGCGAAAATGTCGCTCAGTACTGGCGCTGCTGAAGGTGCGAAAGTGCCGCGCGGTACTGGTGCTTCTCAAGCTGCGAAAGTGCCGCTCAGTACTGGCACTGCTCAGGGTGCGAAAGTGACGCTCAGTACTGGCGCTGCTCGGGGTGCAAAATGCCGCTCAGTACTGGCGCTGCTCAGGGTGCGAAAGTGCCGCTCATTACTGGCGCTGCTCAAGGTGCGAAAGTGCCGCTCATTACTGGCGCTGCTCAAGGTGCGAAAGTGCCGCTCAGTACTGGCGCTGCTCAGGGTGCGAAAGTGCCGCTCAGTACTGGCGCTGCTCAAGGTGCGAAAGTGCCGCTCATTACTGGCGCTGCTCAAGGTGCGAAAGTACCGCTCAGTACTGGCGCTGCTGAAGGTGCGAAAGTGCCGCTTAGTACTGGCGCTGCTCAGGGTGCGAAAGTGCCGCTCAGTACTAGCGCTGCTCAGGGTGCGCCGCTGCAACGCTGTCATTTTCCAAGGTTCGCGCAAGCTAGCACGTTCCAGTCTAGTATCTTGCCACTGCACGCATATGTGGGGAGACTCATTTTTCCAGTATTGACGTCCGTTGTGTAGTCCTTGGCAGATTTGTGTGACGTACCTGCCGACTGACGGCCGGCTTTGAACAGAGTACTCCCGAACGCTCCGAAGAGAAGTGTTGTGACGTGACCCGCGCGACGATCGGAGGCTCCCACCAGACTCCAGAACTCTGCAGCTGAATCCTTCATACCTGCGTAGACGTGTTCATTTTTCTGGTCGGTTGATATTGGCCCCAGGTATTGGCCCGTTGGTGCTGTGAAAATCAGCGGTATGTTTAAACTGGGATAACAATTTGATTACAGCCACATTGAGGCTTACTTTTGCGATACGGGACTGATCTCGTGTGCCAGATGGTGTGTGGATGATATTCCGCTGTTGTATCACTGCGATTTGTCAGGTGCGTGTCCCGTGATCTCAATACAAGCCGTCTATAGTCAACATCGCTTGTTTTCACCATGAATCCAATGTGGAGCAATTGAATAAAAACTGTCGATAAGATGTTCAACTTACACGCCTGGATATTACACTTCATGCGACGCAGGCCTTGACCTCAGTTTTGATGACGGCGTGCATCTTAGTTCCAAGTGTCACCTGGCCAGCGGGTTACCGAAAAGCCATCGACGAGCAGCTCCCTTGTATTTCGGCGTCCTTCCCGCCACACCTGCGACCTATCGGTGACTAACGCCGACGTCCCACCCACCCCCACCCTGATGACCCATCGGTGACGACCGCCGATGTCCCACCCGCCACACCCGCGGCACATCGGTGCGGACCGCCGAAGTCGCGGTCATCATATCTTTTGCCTGATGATGTGGTCGTACAGCACCACCTGCGTGTAGTTGGGCGATTGCACGAGCGTGCGCGTGGAGCTGTCGCCGGGCGTCTCGGTGCGCGGATCCACGCTGACCACCTTGCGGTCGCGCCTCGACTTGAACACCATCCCGTGCACGCTCTCGGAGAGCACGGTCCAGTTGACCGTGTTGTTGCAGCGCGAGCTCTGCGTCTTCCAGTTGAAGTAAGCCAAGTCGTTGACGCGCGGCATGAGGCGCGCCTCGCCGCTAAAGTACTCGCGGAACGCGTCGCTCCTGAGTCGCTGTGCGTAGTCCACGTAGCCCGAGATCTCTTGGTTGCGCTCGTTGAGGCTGCGCAGGAAGATGATGGTGGCGACGCGGCCGTCGCGGTTGACGGCTTCGCGCTCGGCCAGCGCGAGCAGCAGCGGGTCTTCGAGCTCGAGCCCATCCGAAGCGAGGCGGTCCTCACGCGAGTCCCGAGACACCTTGGACGCCTCAAACTCGCGCCGCCGCTCGGCGAACTCGTGCCGCTTCATGAACTCAGCCGTGCCGCGATAGCCGAGCTCAACGATGGCACGCGCCAGCGTCTGGTCCTCCAGGTAGAACATGTCCTGCCAGGAGGCGATCGAATCGAGGTACGCCTCGTACGTCTCGAAGTGCGCGACGGCGTTCACCGTCTGCAGGTGTTCATCGCTCGACATGGCGAAGCACGGGTTCGGCACGATCGGAGGTCGGTTAGAGGTCGCCTGGGCTACGGGCGTACATGGCCATGATTTGTTACTGCTGTACTAAGAGGAGAAATAGGGAGCAAACGCATTTTCGGCATAAAGGCACGGGAATATGCACGCACAAAAACCAAGATTAACATTGGAAATGGATCAATGCTCGTGATGTACTTCGCATCCCCTGAAATTGAAGCTCCGGTATCGTCATTTCAGCTAAATTCAGCCCTCAACTGTCAAGCGGCGTAGTATTTTCAACCGGCTACAGCCCGATCGAGAATCCTGGAAGACGTGCAACGCTGGTCGCTGATCGGAAGTCGGCCGGGAGAGAGATGGGAATACCCAGGCGTAGAAATGTCTTGAAAAAGTCGGTTGTGTATATGGAGGAGGAAATGTCGATTTTTTTAAACGAGTCGTGTTTTCGTGAATCGCCATAGAGTTCATCAAACATTCTCAAAAGTAGTGGGGGAGCCTGCTATCCTTACGCCTAGACGTCGCCTCACACGATGAATGATTTTTATAGTGTTAGGTTGGTGGGGGCCAAGGCGGTCAAATTATGATTTCAGGGAACGTTCCGTTTGATTTTTTTCGCTGGATGTCGCGGTCGTAGGTCATGCGGTCTGGTCTCTAGGTCTGAGAAGTCATACTTCGAGACAGTATGCGAGGTGGTGAAATTGTGGTGGAGATGGTGATGGAGATGAGTGGCATAACTAATGCGTCAGTTGCATATGCTTTACGAAGTGCCGACAGCCAGCGGATATCACTGCTCCGATTACCGCCAGACAGCGGGTGAAGCTCAAATACCAGGCATGACGGCTTTTTTGTTGCCAAAGCCCGGCAATTGGTGTGAGATGTTAGCAGCGCATTCTGCTAAGAACTCAGCACTAGCATCCATTTGTCGTAATTGCGATAAATCCGAAACAATAAGACGGCGGGGATATTGCTACCAAATTATCTGGCAATTCAGCGAACAGAATATTTCAATTGCGGCGTGCAAGTTACATGTGGATGCTATATTTGCCTGGTGTTGTACCCCTGCGTCACATGATAATTGAGTGTCCGTCGTCCTGCGCCCGTCTGGACGGGTGGAACCAGGTCAGCTGGAAGAAGAAAATAAGGACGTCTTTAAAAACATCAGAGCTTGTACTCCGTTGAGGGTCCACGGTGAACTGTTCATCTCACAGGTTTGCTGCAACTCGCAACCATTTTCTCACTCCATTGTCATTGCCAATTATTTTGGGCGGGGAAGGATTTTAGCCTTTTGTGGCTGTTTATGTTTGTATTGTTTTTGGATTTTAGTGTTATGTCATGTTTGACCTGTACTGACATACTCAGGTGTACATGACAATATACAGCATTTTGGTATGTTGGCATAATATTTGTGCCAAGACTGAGGAAAATAGAGCCTTGCTGGAAGGATATGGTCAGTTTTATGTTGTGTTTGGGTTTACAAATCACCCATTAGTGTGGATGCTGTGTGTGTGTGATGTGTGATGCATAGTGGATGCTGGTGAGTGTGGGAAAGTTCAACCAGGGGCTCATCTACCAAGTGGACATGATGAGATGGTGTTGTTCAGCAAGAAGGACCTTGAGTTCTCATTGACTATTCACTCAAGTTTGGAGGAATGTGTTAACAGGGCCTTTTGAATCACCAGGCACACCTTCATCACATTAGATGCCACCACATTGCCATTGTGCCTTAACATGATCATCAGGGTGATCATCCAGCCCTGAGTATGTAAACTCAGTGTGGAGCCAAGCTGTAAGAATGGCCCATGATATGATGGAAAGGGTGCAGAGAAGAGCTGCATAGCATGTTTAATCTCCTATGGTACCTCAGTTATGATAATGACTTTCTGACCTGAAACTACCAAACCTGTACTAGAGGCAATGCAGAGGTGATAGTTCATGGTTTGCCAGATCATGTCTGGGCATTTGAGGATGAGAACAGCTTATCTGTTGAAAGAACTTGTCTGGATAGATATATGAATACCAGCTGAAGCTTATTTTACCAAGAGCAAGCACTGTATATGGCAGTCTTTCTCTTGTTGCCCTGTCCTCCAGTCATGGAATGAACCCAGCTGTACCCAGCCATAGCGATGGCTCCCCCAACTTGAATAATCTTCAAGAATCAGACAGACAGACATTGGGAGCACTGCTGATATAGCCTGAGGCCTATTCTGAGTTAATGATGATGTGATGGGGAGAAACAGTGACTAGCATCCTACAGATCTTTGCCAATATTCAATTTTGTGTTGTCTGACCTCATACCCTCATCAGCTCACTTGTGTTATTCTCATATTCTGCTTATTTTAGTGTTGGTATTAACCAGCTGATCAAAGCAATGTCATTTGCCCATGCCATTAGGGGTTTTCTGTTTCAGGTGATTTGTTTTTGGGTTGAATGATGCAGTGCTGGTTTACTTGCTTGGATCAACCAATGCATTTGTTTTTGTGTTTTCACAGTTAATTACATATTGAATAACAATCACATACTGCCTGCACATTTACATCATTAAGGGAATGTTCCACCTTTTATAGGGTTTTGAACTGAAGTAGTCACCCTGAAATGACTTTGTGTGGTTTACAAGCCCTGCACTTTTAAAGACCTAAATCCCTCTTGTTTCTGGGGCACACACCCTCAAAGATGTGCAGACTATTTTGAGAAGACTGCAACATCATCCAGGCATCCATGACACCATAATGATGCCATTCAAATCCTGTCATTCTATTAGTCATGCAGTGATCAAGGCCTTCAAACATACAATTGTTGAGTCATTCATATCTAGCATTTGTGAGGTAAGCAGATATAACAGCCAGCAATTGGCTCTCAATGTTGTGCCGGGTATGATGGCGTAACCAAGCAGTGGCATACTCAGGCATAATTACTCAACAAAGAAACTGTGTTGCCTTGAGCAATCTTTTCCACTTAAAGGCATACCAATGGTTATAGGCAAGCATATTTCATACTGTCTGATGCTTGCTCCATTATATTCAAGTGTGGAACATTTCCTTTAAGGGCAATAGTTGTGTGCATTCTCTTTTATGTAGTTTATAGATACATTATTGATCACGTGTGTCTGATTAATGGCTTGTACAGCAATAATTAGACTAGACTTCTTCCATTGCTGCATTTTGCACTGTTTCAGGTCAGCCAGGCAGCAGTTCTCTCAAAATGACATCAACTTTTGATCCTGATGACAAGAACAGGTTTGTGTTTCCAGTCTCCTGCTAGCATCTGCACATATGTCTTTGGTGGCTGCCACCAGACCTGTGGTTCGCCAATGGACCGAAAACGAGTTGTGGTGGTGCAGGTTATGCCGTGGGTCATTGGGGAGTCCATGCTGACTCAAGAACCAGTGAAATGACTGTTGAGTCAAGATGTAATTGATTTATTTGAACAAGTTGTGGGATGTTTTCAGGAGTTCTTGTAGAGCACACTCAAAATGTAAACCCAAGAAGCAACTTTCTTTGATAGAGTTTATTTGTGGACAAAATGCCTGGTAACAGGTGTTGCTGTTTTATTAACCAGCTTCATGTCCAAGATAGACATAAATGTGGTCCATAACACAATATGTTGAGCTCTTTGTCCAAATGAACTTTGAGTAGTGGGTGAGTCCTTCTAGCTTACATTTGAGTGACCTGGCTCTGAGGGACCAGGCCCCATGATGTGTCCTCTGGCTAGCCACTCAGGCCATTCAGGCCCTCTAATAGGGTCATTGACATCAACCTTGATGGGCTTGAACCCCTGGGACTTAAGGGGGCACATGCCCTCTATGTCCTCTGTGCATCCTGCCAGTATCCCTGCACTGGAATCAGCCTCTTTGGAATCAGCTCTCCATTGGCCACATATTGTCTGTGTATGTGCATCTTCAATGGTTTATGATTTTAGGCAAAAGTCTGAACAATGTCCAAACATGCATGCTGAATGAGTCAATGTACTGTTATCTTCCCAGTAATCAGTGCCAGCCAGTCCTGTACTAAAGCATGGCTGGGGCTGCATCTGTAGCTGTGTGTCAGCCCTGTGTCCATGATTGCAGTTGGTACTTTGGCCCGATGTCACGTCAGGATGCCAACGACCTCCTGATGTCAGAGAGTGAGGGTGGCATTTTCCTGGTGCGTGACTCCACCAGCATCCAAGGCGACTATGTCCTCTGTGTCCGTGAGGACAGCAAGGTCTCACACTACATCATCAACAAAATAGTTGAGGATGACCAGGTAGGCTTGTCTTGTTTTGTGTGTTTAAGAATGGCCTTTTGCTGACAGCTTTGTTTGTGACCAAACCAACTAGCTGGTGTACAGTTTACTAGGGGAATTTTCTTTTGTTAGACTAATAATAACTAGCTGTGTATGTATGGGAAGTGGTGGCTGGATGGCATGTCAGCCTCAGTAAGATTCCACAGTTTCTGCAGATACAGATTTCTGATACTGGGCAGCTGCTGGATTTGGATTTCTGTACATTGCTCATTCATTTAGTGTTAGTGTTATGCTGGATGCGTAATTGGTATATAAATGCTTAATAGTGTAACAGGCAATTGTCATGTCTTAATGAAGTTTTTGATGCTGATGATGATGATTTGGGGTTCTGGGGTGCATCGACTGCTGTAGGTCATGCAGCTCCCATAATGAGGTTTTTCATAACAATTACATTTCTGATTATATCTGACAGTAGGCATGACTTGCTTCAACAAAAGTAAATTTGTGTTACTTGCTACTTGTGCAAGATTATGATGATCCTCTTCCCATACATGCAGTGTTTTATGCGTGCAACAAAAGGTGAAGCACGCGTCTAAACGCACGTCACTCGCAGTGCAGTGCATTTCCTCGTCCCTAGGCGACCCGGCCACGCTGCTCCCTCGGTCCGCCCCCTCCGCGCCCATCCTCCACTCATTCTGACCCTCCTGCTGTCCTCCCAGCTGACCCCAGCCCACCTCCTCCGCCCACTCCTGCTGGCGGTGGCTAACGCAGGCGCCCCGGGTGGCAGACTGTGTTCCGGATCGGCGACCAGATGTTCTCCGACCTGCCCAGCCTGCTCAACTTCTACAAGCTGCACTACCTGGACACGACGCCGCTGATCCGACCAGCCCCGCGACGCGTTGAGAAGCTCGTCGCCAAATACGATTTCGACGGGCGGGTCAGTCGGGGACTTTACTGCCGAGCCGGGGGGAGGGGCTGGGGGATGTACCGCCAGGCTGGGGGATGTACCGCCGGGCTGGGGGATGCTCCGCCGGGCTGGGGGATGCACCGCCGGGCTGGGGGATGTACCGCCGGGCCGGAGGATGTACCGTTGGGCTAGAGGTCGTACAGCTGGGCGGGGGGATGTACCGCCGGGCTGGGGGATGTACCGCCGGGCTGGAGGATGTACCGCCGGGCCGGAGGTTGTACCGCCGGGCCGGGGGATGTATCGCCGGGCTGGAGGATGTACCGCCGGGCCGGGGATGTACTGCCGGGCCGGGGAATGTACTGCCGGGCCGGGGAATGTATCGCCGTGCTGGAGTTTGTACCGCCGGGCCGGGGGATGTACTGCCGGGCTGGAGGATGTACCGCCTGGCCGGGAGATGTACCGCTGGGCCGATGGATGTACCGCCGGGCCAGAGGTTGTACCGCCGGGCCGGAGGTTGCACCGCCGGGCCGGGGGGTGTACCGCCGGGCTGGGGACATTGCGGGGAGGCCATAGTATCATTAAAATAGGTGGAGACGAGAGAGGACAGGGGAAGGCAAGTGTACGCGAGAGGAAAGAGAAAACACGTAGCCGAGGCAGACATTTCACCCAGAAGGAGAGAGGACGTTCAAGAGCTCGTGATGCTCGCCGCATTTCTTTTTTCACTTCTCCGTGCAGTTTCGAATGACACCAGCGCCTGCTCCCATCGCCCTCGGCGCCGAACGCGCACCAGCCCACCTACGGTCACAGTTTATTGTATCCGAGCTTGCACGGCTGCCCGCCGGGCTCCACGGCGGTCGCACCGTCGGCTGTCCGCGCGCCGGGACCGAGTGGAGGCTGTCTGGGTCCTCAGGACGACGAGGACTTGCCGTTCAAGAAGGGCGAGGTGCTGACCGTGGTGACGAAGGACGAGGAGCAGTGGTGGACGGCCAGGAACGCGCTCGGCCAGACGGGGTCCATTCCCGTGCCGTACGTCCAGAAGGTGAGCCTGGCGCCGACCCTCAGGCCGCTGGCGCCGCACCTCTTGGATGGGCTGGTGGTGGCTCATGTGCATTTATTGCACGTGCAAGTTCTTGGGGTGTTTCCTTCCGCTGTGTGCTCGCGATGTTCCATTGATGTGCCCGTGCGTGCCGTGCCTACTGCGCGTCACTGATGCGCCCATGCCCTAAGTCGCGTCTTTGGATGTGATCGCTAAATGCACCGGAAGACTGATCCGTGACTGTCGGCGCGTGTTCTGAACGATGCGGCGGGTGTCACAGTTGTCCGTGACTGTCGGTACCTGTTCTGGTCGATGTGGCGGGTGTCACAGTTGTCCGTGACTGTCGGCGCCTGTTCTGGTCAATACGGCGGGTGTCGCCGTTGTCCGTCACTGTCGGTACCTGTTCTGGTCGATGTGGCGGGTGTCACAGTTGTCCGTGACTGTTGGCGCCTGTTCTGGTCGATGTGGCGGGTGTCACAGTTGTCCGTGACTGTCGGCGCCTGCTCTGGTCGATGCGGCGGGTGTCGCCGTTGTCCGTGACTGTCGGCGCCTGTTCTGGTCGGTGCGGCGGGTGTCGCCGTTGTCCATGACTGTCGGCGCCTGTTCTGGTCGATGCGGCGGGTGTCATAGTTGTCCGTGACTGTCGGCGCCTGTTCCGGTCGACGTGGCGGTTTCGGCGTTGGAGTTGACTTTTCCCCTACGGTTTTTCGAGCACAACTAAAAAAGGAACGCTTGCAGTAACACCAGAATTTCAGTACCTGTACGTCTATCAATTTGGGATCTGTTGCGCAGATTTGAAGCCTTGATCTGCCGAGGTCAGTGACCTAGGCCAGGTCAAGTCAAAAAGTCAACTTCTAAAAAACTTCTCCCGCGCATAACTCTTTTGCGCGTTATTTACAATTGCTCAAACTTGCCGTAGCAACAGAACATGATAATACCTACAGTTTGATTTCAGCTTTTTCGAAAGAGGGGAGATCAGTGACCTGAGGTGATGTAAATGTTCGTTATTTTTGGTAAATAATGCAAGTTTGTACGTGTTTATGTGTAGTTTTGGTGGTTATATATGAAGAAAAGAGTACTAGCTCACATGCACAACCATCATGTGATCAGAGATCGCAGGGCATTGGCTTAGGTCATGATCTACCTTTATATGTGCCTTTTACAAAACGCATGCTGAGCTCAAAATAGGCATTGTACTGGGTAATTTTTGGCGCAGAATTTGAATATTCCACTGAGAACATGTTATACAATTACGGTGCATAATGGCGTCATAGTAGATCACGTGAGGACATGGGGTCATGCAAGGTCAATGACTTATATAGGCAGTAGCAGAGAGGATAGATGAACGGGTGCGGCGCGTGTTGCCACCTTATTAATGTGTTCGTAAAGCTGATGACACATAATTCTTGTAACAGCGTACCCATCTTCAATTTGTTACAAATGCAGTGCCAACGGTCGAAGGGACGGTGTGTAATTTAGATACCAGCTTCATTGCACTGGTCGCTTAGACCCGGTTAGCACTTTGATTTTTCATTCGGTTAGCTTATGGATTTGATCTCGGATGACCTCAGCTGACCTCCAGGTCAGCCCAAAATAATAGTTATGTGCCTGGGATGGTTTTGTTCGACAGCTGCTTCCAATGAAATAGTCAGTCAGAAACACGTTTTGAAAAAGTAGCGGCCTTCTAGGCCTCTGGTAGACCAATTTTAAACGGTGGCCTGATCTGACCTGACACTTGAGGGGGACAGAAGTGGTCGAAATGGACTCCTCACAGTCTAAACGCTTACTTCTGTGCCCGCAATATCTGTCTTGGCGTGCTAACATATGCTTTAACTTAATCTATCAGAACAACCGTTCTTGGCCTTTCGTAACCTTTGGTGGCTTCAGATTTGACCGAAGAATGAACATTTGGCATGCATTCTTAATAGTTTGGCGTGACCTTCACAACGACATGTTTGTTTTTCTCGTAAGCCGTGTGGAAATTCGGGATCCCAGGGAGCTCAGCTCCCCCCGCTCGTTGCCGGGCGCTGTTATCTCAGACCCTCAACCGGGCGCTGATTACAGCGAGTGGGCTGTAAGGTGAGGTGAGTGGGCTGCTGCCGATAGCTTAGGCTATTTGGAGCACACAACCAAACGCCTAATGGACACTCGTGGCCTGCTTTAGATACGCACCGCGAGTTCGCTTTACCTTGTCGCGCCGTGCTACGTGGCCTCTGGTATAGTCAGGAGCGTACACAGGGTCTGCATCAGGGCCTGAAATTCTTGATCGGGCGGCTTGAGTTTGTATGGGTGCCATTTAAAAATCGATGGGTTTGAGCATGGGGAGGGGTGGAAAATGGGTTCGCTCAGCACGCCAGGTGGTAATGATCCGTCAAGTCTGGCAGACTAGAAATGTGGTGTGAATATCATATTTTTTCGTCAAAAAGCCTTCTTAATTTGGTGGAAAGAACCGTGTTGAAATATTAGGAAGACTGACTGTGTTAAATTTCAACGCTAGTTGGCTCTGGAAAATAATCCACCGTTCGATTTTCATCAAATGCAGACAATACACAAAGATGGATAGTAGCTCTACCGAACGATCACTAAATGTTCAGTGTGATGTGGCTATTTCACAGCCTGGGCTGTGATGATAGAATGATCACTGTAAATTATTGCAAAAGCTCGCTTACTTAAAATAGGATCGCTATGGCTTGCTTCCCTTGAACTTAAGCTGCTTAACGGTCGCAAGATTTTTGTAATGGCACTTATTATGTATCGTATTTCACCCCAGTCCAACGTAACGTGGCGTATAAAACATATTCCAACAGCGTTTTTACGTTCCAACAGGTCTTGCGTTTTTACGCAACATCAAAGGCAATGTTACTGAGACAAATACATCCACAGCTAATTCGTTGGTCTTTCGCAAATTGACGCTTTTAAGGAATTATATATATATATATATATATATATATATATATATATATATATATATATCACGCCATTAATGTAATTAATTGTGAATATTATTCGTTTATCATCGCTGAGTCCTCATGTAGGATTGGAGACTCCCATCTGGTTATAGCTGTCCTGTTTGTTTTCGAGGTAGTTACTGGCCGATTCAGCCACTGATGCTGCGTTCCCAGATGCAGAGGTTTCATCAAACTTGTGTACCTACATGTACCCTTCTTCGAACATCCGAAGTGTGCTTGATTTTCAACCAGACCGGGGCTAAATAGCCCAAAGGCTAACTATTGTTCATCGGTGTATCAGGAACGGGTTAACTGTGTCTGCAAATGCGGACTACCGTGTGGTTGGCCCAGGCTCAATTTCCGACTGACGTTATGCGGCACTCTCCCTAGACCGGGAGCTACCTCGGACTTGGGCTTCAGGACGTCTTGGTCTGGGGGGTGCCTGTGCTTTGGTTGAGAGGAGAAGGGGCACCCTGTGTGCTCAGCACTCACTTTCCTCTAATTTCTCTCGGTTTCAGTTTTATCTTGTCCGTTGTGTGTGTGGGGGGGGGGGGGGAGGGGGCTCAGTTGAGAGAGCGTCTGCTGATCAGCTGCGTCGCGTGCCAGGCCCCTGGCTTGTTTGCTGTGTGTGTGGGGGGGGGGGGGGGGGGAGCTCAGCTGAAGAGAACGTCTGCTGATTAGCCGCTGCTTCGCGTGCCAGGCCCCGGGCTGGGCTCAAACACTGCTCCCGGGCAGGCGTCTTACTGTCCGCCGCTACGTTCCGCTTAAAAGAGTTGGAGCCTAAATGACCTTAGAGGTTGGCTCGTCGTCAAACCCTCAAAATCGTAATTTTGATATTGAGTTTCAGCATGCAACTTGAACCCGAAGAATGTTAAGTTGTAGCACTCAGTTCAAAATAATGGTAGGGTATTTATATTCAATTCGGATTATCGGAGCGATGCCGTGTTAATTTGAAAGTGAAAAAGTGAGGAATTTCTTCAACAACTTTTCAGCTAGCAGGAGTGGTCGGTGCTGGTACGTGTGTATCACTGAAATTGTCGGACATGTCTTTACGACATCGTCAGTATTGAATGCCTTATAGGAGTTTCCAATTTTGAAACGCCTTATGTCTGTTTTTCTCTCAACGGACCATGACAACGCGCCGTGTTCCCCCGGCTACCACGCCTTCCGCCTGCCGTTCGCCGGCTACCGGCGGTGTTGTGGTGCCGGCGTGTTGCCCTGGTCCCGTGCCGCAGTCGGGCCGCCGGCGCGCCGCCGAGCCCCGAGCGAGCGGCGCCGCCCCGGCCCCGTGGACGGGCAGCAGAGGACGGCCGCTTGGCCGGCGGCCACTAGCCGCCCTGCCAGGCCTGAGGCGACGGTCGCCGCGGGCGGGCCGCGGTGCCGCGGGACGGCGTGGCCGACCGGCGGTAATAATAGAGCGGTGGCAGCGCCCGGCCGGCGTCGCCTGCAGCCGTCCCACTCGTCACCTGGCACTGGATGTGATCGGGACAGGACGGCATTGTTGTCACGGCCGGGTGGGAGCGTCGGGCGCCCGCGGACAGCGGCAGTACCGGTCGCTAGGCCTCACGGGCGGGTGTCGGACCGCTGTTGCGTGCCGCCGCGGTACCGACCGACGGGGAATGGGCCACCTTTCGATGGGGAAGCGTAGGAGTGCTCGGCTCGGGCACGATATCAGGGATGAGATGGAAGCGGTGTGGCGGCCTCAGGCGTCGCAGCCGCCCAAAGCGGATGCGAATGCGGGTCGGCGACGGTCTCAGCGTCAATATCCGAGCCAAGATGACGGTTTTTAGGAATTCGGATTAAATGTCCAGGGAATGTCTAAAGTAAAATAGTGAATTCGCTTGGTACTGAGACAGATCTCCTTGACGAGGTATGCTGGTTACGGCTTGCCGACTTTCAAGCTGGCGTGCCGTTTTTGCGCGTTAATGAATTGTTTAGGTTATTTCGCTGGCGTATGCTGTGTCATTGCGTGCCAGACAAAACATGTTATCAGTCTCAAAACTATGTATGGATCGGTTTTGACCTTTACTGTCCAGTTTTAACATGTTGCCACTAAGTGGGGTTATCATCTGTTCGCCTCAGTTACCTGTCACGACCAGGGACAACGTTTGACGCACAAGATATGTGCAGAAAATGTTCCTTCATTTGTTACCGTTGTACCGCATGATAAACACGGCTTATTGCTGCTGGTGGCGGCGCTCTTGCCTTGCGAGAGCTAATCTCAGGTTAAAATCAAGGCAAACAGGGTTGACCCAGACTAGATGTGCCTGCTTGTTGATTGGTCACCGTACCGATATGTCTGTGAACATAGAATGTAGCTCAGGGTCTTCAGGTCCTATCCAACGGTCCATTCAACCACGCGTCTCGTCAAGGCGGCATGGCCCATGTTGTTTACGCCGACGCAAACTGATGCAGCACTGCTCTAGTCAGTTTGCTGAGAGTGGCTGTCCAGTGGCCTCCACCGGGAAATCACGCTCCGACGGCACTCCGCCGAGCAATGCTTTCTGAGCCAGCACACAGTGCGCTCGACAGTTTTGGGAGGGCAGTGGGGGGGAGGGGGAGGGGTGGGAGGGAAAGGGTCAATGACCTTGGTGTTATTTTTCGTTCGACGAGGTTTGTGCTTGTTTTGCGCACCAGTGTGCCCAATTTGACGGCGCTGTCAGCTCTTTTTATGTTTTCGGCGCTTGAGCGACCCCCTCCCCGCCTGCAAGGTCATAACCCCACGTGTCCGACGAGCGCGAACACCGGCGCCGCGCCGGCACGCTGGAAAAGCGTATCTACGTCATAACGACCCGGCTCGTGGCTTCGGCTGAGGTTTCCGCTGCGTTTAGATTGACAGTACTGGCTGTTCACCTGATACCGGTCGTGGCGATTACGGGCGATGTTGGTCGCCTTGTGGGAAGGGTCGCCACCGGCGCCGACCGCCGTCCGCGGCGTGTTGCTGTTGCAGCTGGAGGAGACCGACTCGCGGACGTCGGCCGGCGTCAACGGCAGTCCGGCCGCCAAGGACAGCCCGCCGAAGCCGAAGGCCAACGCCCAGGTCAGTGCGGGGGGGGGGGGAGTCACCACCGCTGCGGGGTTCAGTTCACGTCTGTTCGACAGTGGGCCCTCCGCTGGCGGTGGGTCCGCGCGTGGCCAGTGCCGCACGACGTGGTAAAGGAGAATGTGAAGGAGCACATGCCACTGCGGTGGCCGGCCGTGGCGTATGTTCCGCCTTGCGTGCAAACACGATGCTGGAGGCCGGCGGTGCGGAGCGGCCCGAATCTGTGTAAGTTTTGGGATTGTTATGACCGCCCCGATCGCGCGTGTCTCGCCGTGCCGTGCCGTGCTTGGTGTGCGACGCAGACTGGGTCCTCACGCTTGAGAACCCCGGGCTGGAACTGTACACACGTGTGTGCGCCTTGGCCAGAACGGCGCGAGCGCCCGTCCCCTGACCCGTCGTCTGCTGCTTCCAGCGCGCGTTGCCGGTGTTTGCACGCGTCAACCAGTCACGGATCCCGAACGTCTTCGACAAGACGGCGCTGACGCTGGAGGTGGGCGACACCATCAAGGTCATCAAGATGAACATCAACGGCCAGTGGGAGGGCGAGCTGAACGGCAAAGTCGGACACTTCCCCTTCACGCACGTCGACCTCGTGGACGCCGTGCCAGACAATGAGAAGCGCTGAGCACGGCTGGCGGACGACGCGAGAACTTGCACTTCGGCCTGCGGACGCTAGGTGGCGGTGGGCGGGTCCAGTATGGCACGGGTTGCCCACAGCTGGTGCCAGCGCTGTGCACCGTCAGGGTACGCTGGGCATTTGCGGGGTCGCCGAGCCGGCGCGCTGTGATACGCGACCCGCGACGGCCGGCCGGCGCGTGCAGCTGGCTCTGCCGCCGACCGACGTGGCCTGCAGCCGTTGCAGCCAAAGGGAATGACGATCACTTGTTTGTACATACGGCGCCTGCCGTCTGCGCCTTGTTAATGCGCAATGCCGATTCGGCGTGTATTCGGTCGTATAGTGTAGGGATATGATTAACACGGTGGAACACTGTCGCGGCCTCGCTGTGCACGGCGCTGGATGCTTGACGCTCCAGAATCTCTGATGCGCGGAGCGGAGCGGTGGCGCTGCCATTGTATGGCACGCCTCGGAGGTAGCGCCGCGGCGCATGGCTCTCCCGCCCGCGGCTCGTGGTGACTCAGTCTCAATACAAAATGACCGGCGCCCTCCGCCCAGCCGGCGTCTGAGCGCAGCCCCAACGTGGCAGGACCGCCGCTGGCGCCAGTGTTGCTGACGTCGGAGTGTTGACTCCGTTCTCGGTGTGGATTTCGACCTACGCTGCGCCCAATCGGAGCATGCGGCGCTCGGGCTGCTCCTGTGGTCTGCCCTCCCCCCTCCCCCCGCGGATCTGCGCTCTAGGCGTCAGCTCGCTGTCTTGTACACTGCCGGTTGGCGCCGGGCGGCGGAGGCACCAGACCGCGGCGGATACTTCACGAAACCTCCCCGACACCCGCTGAGGCCTCGCCACGACCTTGGGTCGCGGCGCCGCTGCACTGCGCAACCCTCGCCGGGAAGCGCGCGCGGCAGGCCAACCGCCGCCGGACGATCGTCACGATGCGGCGCGGCGGGCGGCGCGGGTGCCGTCATCACAGAGTCCGGGGGACCGGCGGCCCCCACCCCTCACGTGGTACCCCCGCGCTGGAAGCGTCGACTGCCGCGGTCCCGGCGGCCGGCCGGCGCCGGCGCCGCCGCCGCCTCCGGCTCGTCGTCGTACTCGTAATCGTAGTCGACGGTGCGGCGGCTGGATTGCCGGCGCGCGCCGAGCAGGCGACTGCGCGCAGACTCGCGCGGCTTGGTCGGCGCGGCGGCGCGCGCGCGCTCGAACAGGCTGGCGGCGGTGCGCCGGCCGGCCGATGAGAAGCGCCCGGTCGGCCGCTCGCGTTCGCGCTCGGCGATCACCTCGTTCTCGGCGATGGCCGCCTCCGGCAGCTGGACGTTGACGGGCGGCGGAGGCAGCGGAGCCTGCTCGCGGATTGGGCGGCCCGCCGGCCGCCGCCGGGTCGACCGGAGCGGCGCGCGCGCCTGGGGCAGAGCAGAGCTGGTCAGTCTCGGATGGTGAGTGGGGCTGCTGGACATATGAGAGGGACGGAGCGCACGGTCGGGCGTAGCTTGTGGCGGCTAGCGGCGCTCAGCCTCCTGGTTCGTCTCAAACTCGACCTGCCCGGCTTTTCACGGGCGTGTCAACACTGCAATACGTTGAACTGATCCGTGAGCAGAGTTATATATGGGCCAAATGAAAGCCGAAGAACCCCGAGGATACCGGCGTCCCAATACTGCCTAGCGTACCTGGGCCCGAGCCGTCACCGGGACCGGAGCAGAGTCATCTTCGAAGTCGTAGTCATACAGGGGCTCCTCGACAACCGGCACCTCCTCCGCCGCCGCCACCGCCTGGCCGTCATAGTCTGCGTACTGCGGCTGGGTCCGCGCGGGTCGCTTCCGGGGCCGCAGCCGGGACTTGGCGGCCGCTCGGTTGGCCCCCACCGGCCTACTCGCCTTCACCACCTCCCCGTAGTCGTAGTCATCTCCCTGCAACGGCGTCTTCGGCAGGGTGGACTGGACCGCCGCGTCGGCCGCTGCCGCCGCGCCCGCCCGCCCCGCGCCTCTGACGGCGGCGGCGCCGTAGTCGGGGAACGCCTGCGCGTCCGCTGCCGGGCGGCTCCTCCGCCGCGCCGCTGCGCCGCCGCCCTGCGCGCGCCTGCCCAGCCCGCCGGCCGGCTGCCGCCGTGCTTGTCCTACGCCGTCGTCCGGGTAGTCCGCCTCTGTCTGCGCCGGCCGTGCGCGCAGACGCTTTCGCTGTGCGGCGCCGGCGCGCGGCGCGCCGCGCGCGGCCGGCGCGCTCTCGTAATCCGGGTAGTCCTCCACCTGTGCCTGCTTGCGCTGCTCGGGCGCATTGATGACGCCCCGCGCGCGCGGCCGGTAGGTCGTAGTCGTAGTCGAGTGCCTCCAGGGCGGGACGGAGCCGCGGCCGGCCGGCGCCGTCGCCCTGGCGGCGGCGGCCGGGCCGACCGCGCCTCCTGCCGCCGCCGCCGCCACGCCGGCGGCCGCCCGGTCGGCGTCGCCGGCCGCCCGGCCGCCGCCGCCGCAGCGGTCGGCGCGTCGTCGTCGTCGTGGTCGTCGTCGTAGTCGTTGTCGTGGTCACGTCGTCGTAGTAGTAGTCGTCGTCATAGTAGTAGTCCAGATCGTCGTCGTAGTAGTACTGATCTTCCTCCTCTTCCGGCCGCCGCCGGAACGGCCGCTTCTTTTTTGGCGCCTCGGTCGTCGTGAACTTGTAGAGTGGCTCGTTACTGGAATGGACGGACAACGACATGTTCAGACGGGCAACTGGCCGTACCTGGCCAACATCGCAGGTACGCGGCCGGCGGCGCCGGGTCTCTTGCAAATCAAACAACTGTGTCCGCGGAACAGCTGGTGATAAGGGCGTCCAAGTGCTGCAAGAACCCCAAGGTAAACACTTGGTATAACACGCATGGCAAGAATTTGCTCAGCATGCGTCCATAAATCTCACTGCAGACATTGCCCCTGCACAGGAGCACCGAAGAGATGTGGTGTTGCACTCAAACTGACCCGCGCTAGCTACATCCCCGTTAATCATGAGCTGCAGTCTGGTGGAGTGATTCTCATTGAATTTGGATGTCTTAGACGTGGTGAGGCATGCAGCGCCCAAGCTAAGAGCCAGCACACCGAAAACGCAACTAAATCAAGTTATCTCGGAACTTTCACGACGCACATCATGGTCTGCTTTCCTGAATCCCTGCAGTGTCCAAAGCCGCATCAGCTTCTGCTGCCTCACCGGTACGTGTACGAGTCGGAGTTCTCGCAGTCCACCAGGTTGACGAACTGGCAGATAAAGGTGCGCATGTCGAAGGCGGTGTAGTTGGCGCAGACGAAGTCCTGTCGGATGCCGTACAGGCAGTGGTGGTAGACCTGCAACCAGCGGAGGCGAGGCTCAGTCGAGGGACGAGTCTCATCGCAGCTGACGCCAGCACGACTTCGGATTTGTTGGACCAGTGACGTCATAGTGACATCGTAACAGCACCCGGCGGTAGAGGCACTGCTGCAGGAGAGAAGTGCTCTCTGTTGATCTGACTGTCGCAGTAGTACTGACCGTCGTGATAGTACTGAGTGTTGCAGCGGCACTGATCGTCACAGTAATACTGACTGTTGCAGAAGCACTGATCGTCGCGGTAGTGCTGACTGTCGCAGTAGTACTTATTGTGGTAGCGCTGATCGTCGCGGATAGTGCTGACTGTCGCAGTAGTACTTATTGTGGTAGCGCTGATCGTCGCGGTAGTGCTAGCTGTCGTAGTAGCGCTCATTGTCGCGGTTGTACTGACTGTGGCAGTAGCGCTGATCGTCGCAATAGTATTGACTGTCGTAATTGTGCTGATTGTCGCGGCAGGTCTGATGGCCGCCGCAGTGCTGATCGTCGCAGCAGTGGTGATCGTCGCAGTAGTACTGCTCGTCGCGGTAGATATGATGGTCGCAGTAGCGCTGAGTGTCGCGGTAGTACTGATCGTCGCAGTAGCACTGACTGTCACAGTAGTACTAATCGTTGCTGTAGTGTTCGTGGCTGCGCCGGTCGTCGCGCTCGGGGCGCGGGGCGGCCTTGGCGGATGCGACACTCAGTGTGCGACTAAGGAACAGTCCAGGTTTACACTGAAGTAGCAGGCAGGCTTTGAAGGAGAGCTTGATCTTTAAGCCGGAAATGTAGCTTCACTTATGAGGCTGATAAGGTGTGCTCGATTTGGGCTGCAGAGTCAGTATTCTCTAAATCGTCTCCAAGTGGTCAGATTGCCCAATTAAAACAGGAATTTTGCGGAATTCGTACATCGGATTGTTTATCACTGAGAGCGGTTCCTCAGCATTTCGCTTGGTTACATCCTCGTGCAGTCGAAATAGTTAGCAAGCAAGCTTTGTGACTAAATCGGTTTTTCCGTCAGTGGTATAAGAGCCTACGAGGTACACGAATCGCTTTAGATTCGCTGCATTCTTTTCAAAGTAACTTACCGAAACACCATGGACTAAGAATTTGGGGCAAGAGATTACGCCAGTCGGACACGTCTACCTGACATAAGCAGCCCAAAAGCAGATGGCAGTGTTTTTCGGCTACTTGAAATGAGCCGTCCAGAGCTGTTCTGTGATTCGTTACCAGCCAGCTCATTGGTGGAGGTTGCCAAAGTTGAACTGAGTCATTGCCTGTACAGTGCAAACACCTCACATTCGAAATTGAGTCGAAATGATCAGCTCGCTGTGTGCATTAAGCGAATTGTTTTGATTATGCCGCTTCCACAAATCAATGCCCCAATCAGCAAATCAATTTGATTTTGCCACATTTGATGGCGACACATCTACAAAGCATGCATGCTTTGAGTGACCCAGGTGCATTTTCCAGTTCCACATACGGTAATGACTACTCTTGCGCAACGCACATTCATCGCAGACGGTTTAGTGATATACGGCAAAAGCGGTATTCGTCCACAACAAAACATCTACAAAAGCCGTGCCCCAGCAGCGTAAAGGCTGCGTTTGGTGCCGACACGGTCCTGAACTGGGAGAGGGTCTTGCGTCTGGCCGGAATGGTTTGCCGGGAGGTGAAAGAAATGCGCGGAGCCTTGGGTAGTCCAACGCGGCACGCGGTGGATTATGGAGATGCTGCCGGGTTCGGTCCGTGACTGATACGCGCTGGGGGCCGCGCGCTGTTCGACGCAGCGTCTGTATTCATGAGCGGTATTGTTTCCACGATTGCCTCGCACCAATCTGCATCTGCTGCGTCGTCGGCACGTGTCGACAGGTGTCGCGATGGCATCTGCGTCATTGGAGCTGATGCATCATGGTGTCGGTGGGCGGGGGGAGGAGGGAGGAGGGGGGGGGGGGGGTGCTCCGGAGGAACGGAGCTCGTCTCTGATGACGGGTGTTCCCCGGGCCCGAGGAGGGCCGGATCTCGGGACCGTGCGTAGTAGACCCCGCATGTCATGGATCCTGGAGCAGGGGCTGTGTGAGCTCCTGCTTACGAAAGGAGGGACCTAGCACAAGACAGAGCGACGAAAACTAAGCATAGATAAGGAAATGAAATGGGTGGTGGCACAGCGTCAGGCC